TCGTTTAAACGGGCCACACAAACCAAAACCATTAATAAAACTCATGAGCGTTTTCACCTCGAGACCCCATAAAGGTGATGCTTCAGGAGGAAAATACAGTTTTTGTCTGTAGGACCTGAGCTGAGAGGAGCGAGAGAGTACATTTAACATAACGTTTGATCCAACCGGATTTTACGTGACAATTTTCTTTAAACCAATTTCTTTTAAATATTGTCTTTACGTTTTCATGAGCCAAATAACAAAAACATCATTCTGCTTGGATATGCGGATGCTTTTAGTGGTGAATTGGTTATAATGTTATTTACAATAAGGTAACCTTTTATATTTATATTATGACCTAAAGGTAAAAATGAGTAAAGTCAATAATCTATTTTTAACTATAATAAATGGTTTTAAAAGTTATTTGCTCTAATTTTCCAGAGGGATTTTATTCCCCTTCCTCACAGACAGTCAAAGGGAAATTACATGAAAGGGTAGAGAAGCGGTCCGACTGTCTCCAGACAATGGCAAATACATGTTTAGGGAGATTCCTGCTGTGTTTTAATGCACAAACATCAGACATTCATTCATGCATTTTTTAATTATTTACTGTGGAGCTCTCTGTATGTTTATGCTGCAGAGGGCAGGGTCAGCTGCATCTTCATTCATTTAATCATAAAGTAAAAAACAATGTTTTCTAACCCATCCCTGCTCCAACACACAGAACAATCCACCAAGTTCTGTAGAAAAAAATAAAAGATTCATCAAGTTAAATAAATTACACTTATTTAAAGTACTTTCAACTTAGTTACAGCAATTAAAACCGATAAACTACAGTTGAACGCATTCAACCACAAGCAAAAAGATCATATAGCCACAAAAACAAGAGCAGAGGAAACCAGATAAGGAAAAACTAAAAATGATACGAAATATCAGATCTAAAATCTAGATTTAAAAGAAAAATTAAATATGATGACATCAGTAAGGTCACTTAAAATCTACTTTGTTTTCTGAAAATTATTATAATAAATGTCAGAATTAAAATCAAACGAAAATAAGGTTTAAAATGTTATTTGGACCAAATTCTTATGGAAACATCTACAATGTATAGGACAGAAGGAAAAGAACCACTCATTAAAATCAAACATAACTAAACTACTTTGTACATCAGAATGATTAATACAACATCCCAGCCTGTCCTACTTTCTGTAAAAGTTCTACTTGCTTTAGTATTTTATCTTCTTCCATCCAATTCATGATTCATGACTCACGGTCCTGGAACTTGTGACGCAACATCAAAAGATAGACAAGGCAAGGCAGCTTTATCTGTACAGCACCTTAAAACACTATAAAACCGACCAAAGTGCTTCACAGAAATTAAAAACATGAAAAACTGTACACAACATAAAAATGCATAAAAACTAAAGCTTAGGAACTAACACTAAAAACAGTAAAAAGACTCATACTGTCAAAAACGAAATCATAACAATAGGTTTTCAAAAGAGATTTAAAACCAGACAGTGGAGAGGCTGACCTAATGCTCAAAGGCAGAGCATTCCAGAGCCTAGGGGCCACCACAGAGAAAGCCCCGTCACCTCTGAGCTTGCATCTTGTTTTTGCGACTTCCCGGAGCATCCAATCAGCCGACCTCAGAGACTGTGCAGGGGAGTATAACACCAGTAGCTCAGAGAGGTAATCTGGAGCAAGGCCATGCAGAGATTTAAAAGCACCTTGTACTGGATTCTAAAACTAACAGACAGCCGGTGCAGTGAGGCCAGGACAGGAGTGACATGCTCCATCTTTTTCGTCCCAATGAGCAGCCGTGCAGCAGCATTCTGTACCAACTGTAGACGCGAGAGGTGGGATTGTGAAACACCAAGGTACAAAGAATTATAGTAATCAAGCCTTGATGTAATACAAGCATGAATTACTGTTTCTAAATCCTTTTTTGACAGGAAGGTCTTTACCTTGGCGATCCTTCTTAATTGATAAAACCTAGATTTAGTCACCGCACTGATCTGCCGGTCCAAGACAAGATCCCCATCCAGTACAACACCCAGGGAAGTCACACTCGATTTCAAGAATGGGGCGAGCTGACCGAGGTCCACTGCACCCACCCTAGTCAAAGTACTTGGACCAAAGACTACAACCTCTGTCTTTTTATCAATAAAAAGAAGGAAGTTAGAGAGCATCCATTGCCTAACCTCAACAAGACAATCTAAAAGAGACTGCAAAGCATGAATGTGGCCCCTCTTAAAAGGCACGTATACCTGGGTATCATCTGCATAGCAGTGAAAATGAAACCCATGTTTTTTTTTAAATCGAACCAAGAGGTAGCAGATAAAAAGAAAACAACAATGGGCCCAACACAGAACCCTGGGGAACCCCGCAAGAGAATGAAGCATTAGATGAAGTAAAATCCCCCAGTGAGACACTGAAGGTTCTGTCAGTCAGATACGACACAAACAAATACAGCTGGAATTATTAAATTAATGATTTTGTATCTTGATATTTATTTAATTGCTTTGTTTATCCTAATGCACACACTTTTAGTGTTTTAGTTGAAGAGAGGTATTTCACATATATAACCAGCATCAGCATCATATCTGCACTTCTCTCCGAGATGTTTTTTTCACTTCTTCGTTAACGAATCCTTTCCTCTGGTGCAATTTCCCCCTCTGGGATCAATAAACAACAAACCATAAACCAGGCAGTCCAACTCCTTCAGGCAAAGAATAGTGGGGAAATTGAATGGAAACAGCCATTGGTGCATTGTGGGTGATGACGTGTTATTCATGAGGTTATAGGTCACGTCATTCTCACAGAAGTACTGCCCAAAGATAACTTCTGAAAGGAGGGATTATGAACTTTCAAGTTTACCTTAATACCACAATTTCCATATATTAAAGGTCTCCTTCCCATAGAAACCATGTAATAATTGTTCTTTTTTTTAAATCAATCAATGACTGAGTTTCACAAGCAGGATGAATGGGTACATTTTCTATAACCCCTCCACCACCAGCAGACAGGAAATATATGGGGGCAATCAAGTTTGCGTAAACACAAAACGGAGTCTGAAAATCGCGAAAATCATTTTAGGGACTTTTACAGAAAAACTTCGGATCTGGCGTAGGAACATTTGAGACTGGGAAACTGGTGCTACAGCTGGCAAAATGGTGAAAAAGAAAGTTAAAGCCGCATTTTCAGACTTGTAGAGCCTTACACGCACACACACACACACACAACCACCAGCCCTCAACCATGTCTGAACGGAAAATAAAAATAAGAAACCCAAATGAAAATATTTTTAAGATATCACACTACTACGTACATCTTCAAATTACTTACTCCATTTCAGATTTGGTTGCCGTGGTTACCCATGGCCGGCCTTTTTTATAAGCAGGGTACTCATTAAATGCGTTATATTCACCATTTATGGCAGGAAGAGGGTGTGTCGGAGACTCCTGAGCCTATTTCTAGGAACAGTAGTATTTATTGTGCGTAAGCAGTCTTTTCTAGGTCAGAAAATCAGTTTGCATAAGTAATTTTTTATTTCGCTGAGCTTAAGTAAAGTTTCCTTCTATATAAGGCCCCAGGTCACTCTTTTCTATGTTATAGGGCTGGGCAATAAATAGAAAAATTATCATTATCAAAATGTCTGACTCTTAGAGATCATTTTTCCCATGTCAATATATATGACAATAAAAAAAATGAAAAGATGTGTGTAGGTTGGCAACGTTCATGTCCCTTTAAGAAGCTGCACCACCTTGAGTCACGTAGAAATGTGATTCACTGTGATACACGTGACAGCCCCATCTAGTGGACAACTTTTGTTTCTGTGCATTCCTGTAGTTATCGTCTGTTTATCGTTATCGAATTGAAATCCTCAACATATCCTGATATTGATTTTAGGCTGTATCGCCCAACCCATGCACATGAAAAACTAGTATACATTGCCCCGCCCACTTCAACTTTGGACCACCCACAAGAAGGAGAGGGCAAAGTCTACCTCAGCTAGTAGAAGCTAACCATTAGCAACTACACAACATAGCGGAACATTTACAGGTTTGTGTTATTTTAGGCGATAAAACATCAATGTTGTAATTTTACTCAACAAAGAAAAGCAAACGAAGGCAGCAGAAGAGTCGAGTTGCTGTTAGCCAATCTGACGCAAGTTGTTTTCATATTGTGAATATTAATGAAACCACTCACCAGGGACTCATTCATACTAGAGACCACAGCAGATTGATTCCCTTAATTAGCCATCGTCAACAAATGAAACTAATTTTACAGAATTTTGCTGACTTATAGAAACCATGACTCCTTTATTTAAAAACAAACAGGTCAAGCTTTGACTCATTAACAGGAAGATGCCAAATTATGAAGATTTAGTAACAGATGGAGAGGAACGGAGAACAAAGCTGTCAGTTAATGCATCAGTCTGGGATCTGAACAAACAAAGCATCTTGTTTTACTTTCCCTCTCTCTCTGCTTGTGGATGTTAAAAAGAGTGGGCTGACTGACAGGCAGAGACGGCGTGAGTCAGCAAGACTCCAAACAAGCCGGAGACATTGTGATTCAGACAGCTTTTTAAAAGTGCAAAGGAATTCACAGCAGCCACCAGAGGCTTGTGCTCACAGTCGGGTCACATCCAGTATGTTTCTGTCACAAGCATCTGTACTTCAACACAGAAAGACTCTAATCTCATTTTAAATATTACCTCACCTCTGAGAATTAATGTTACTTAATATGTAAGAAGTGCAGGTTTTCTTACAGAAATCCTTTCAGCTGTTTCAGAGGGTGTTATTCATAAGTACCCACACACTCCGGCTTTTTTCAGTCGGATCCGGTAAAATCCTTTCATCAGCCTTCCAATGCCGAGTAATCAAAGACTAAAGAAGCATGGAAGTCTGCTGATGCCAGAGAGGGAAGAGTGTGCGTGAGCAGTCAGCAGGTGTTAATCTGATGCCGTGTGCTTGCCCACTGACGTTAAGTCATATGAAGCCAAATATCAATCTCACCTCAGGCCGAATGTGTGAGACTGCTCATAGTGGAACAGGGAATGGATCTTCACATCTGAATTCACAGCGATCAGCCTGTCAATCAGATCCTGTGGAGCAAAGAAGAGGAGCTGTGAGAAAGAAGACGGCGGGTGTAGTGCAAAGAGAAAAGCATGGAAATGTGTAACGTCTGCGGAGGAAAACACACATCCGCCTCAGTGTTATGAGGGCCTTTGTGAAGTAAAACAAATGTGTGTGTGTGTGTGGAGGGAAGGGGGGCGTGATGAATAAAAGTGCAAACGTGCCCTCACATGGCTGTAAAAGGAAGTGCATTAAGTGTGTGTGAAAGACACTCACTGGAATGGAAGATGGAGTCTCTCTCAGGGTGTATTCGCTCTTGTTGGCTAAAGGCTGTCGTCCCAGAAGCTCCCACACCGACTGGGAGGACGACAGGAGGTTGACCAAAGACAGGAAGGACTGTGATGAGGCAGAATAATCATCAGACATAACGAGGAATATTAAACAACTAGATGTCTCTCATTACTGGGTCAAACAGAAGCTAGGGTAATAAAGAGCAAAAACAGAAAGGATGTAAACACTAAAAACAAAATGTTTTACAAGTCTAAATGTGCGTTTGTCTCCTGTCAGATTCTGGTTTGAGACTTTGCCACACAGTTGTCACTTTGAGGACTGTGTGTGTGTGTGTGTGTGTGTGTGTGTGTGTGTGTGTGTGTGTGTGTGTGTGTGTGTGTGTGTGTGCGTGCGTGCGTGCGTGCGTGCGTGCGTGCGTGCGTGTGTGTGTGTAACGTGGCAGCTGACCCACTGACAAGGCAGGCTTTAAAGCTGCCAGTGGCAGGAGAGAGGACACAGCTCGCTGCCGGTCCATGTTCACTTGGCTAGCTTCGGTTGTCAGACGGCAGAGTCAGACTCAAGCAGACGTACACGCCAGCACACCCACGAGCTTCAAATCCAACTTTAGAAGAGAAATTCTGTCCAAAACCTTTCTACAGATAAGTCCAGGTACAACGACCACAGTTAGATAAAATAAACAACATAAACCAGGAATAGAGATTATAGTTCCTTTAATATTTCAACTACATAAATCTGAGATAAAAAGCTGATTTACTTTGCAGAATGAACGGTAAACGGTATGAATCTGTAGAGAACCTTCTTAGGTTCTACAAACCCCCCCAAGGCGCTTCACAACACAATCACCCATCACACTCATGAGGTGATGAGCTGCAATGTAGCCACAGCTGCCCTGGGGCACACCAATAGACGTGAGGCCTGCCGAACACTGGCGCCACCGATCCTTCAGACCACCACCAGCAAGCAAGGTGGCTTAAGTGTCTTGCCCAAGGGCACAACAGCAGCATTCTCTGGTCAGGGCCAGAATGACATGAATGCTACGTTCCTGTTTAAATATGAACTTGAAACACGAACTGTACTTTAATAAACTACAGCAGCCCAGAGAGGACAAGACATACCATTATTGTTATTTCAAGATGGGTTAAAGAAATGAAAACTGTTGTCGCAGACTCGCAGTTAACAGTTTTACCACCAGATGTCAGAATGTTTGCACACAGAAAAGTTATAAGTCAGAGGAATTTTTTTAAATCACATCAACATGAATTACATTTTTCATTTAACTGTATTTGATGGACAACCAGTTAACCAGTTAATAAATGTGTGTGTGTGTTTTTTTTTCTTCTTTTTTCCAGGGCGGCAGAGCTGATGACGAGAACGGGCTCCGTTGTGACTGGAGGTGGCCAAGCAGGGAGCCATTTACCACGGACTGGCAACCCTCCTCAACCAGCCAAGCCCCATGATGCAGAGAGGTACACGTGCACGCGCACACGCACGCGCACACGCACACGCACACACACACACACACACACTTTTATAGATTTCCATATTATCCACTCTTCCTCTAACCACTCAGTTGTTTTATGGGTGCTTTTAATGCATGCATCAGCCTTTTGTTGTCATTTAGATTTTTTTTTTTGATTGATTAATCAAAATATTCCAACTTACCCCAAAAACAAAACAATATCAGAAAGATAAAAATTTATTGTTGAAAAGTAAATTTTAATTATCAACTTGACTCATATTTTGAACACGTTGCAGTTGTCTCTGTTGGAGCAAATGTAAGTCGTACTCGGCGGGGCGCTCCGTTGTGCCATTTTCAGGAACTACAACCTTATGCGGTATAGTTCTAGAAACACAAGTTTTCTTTTTGTTCGTTGTTTTTAGTGGTTGGAGGTTACACTGGTAAGTGTGCTAACCTGTAATCTTTTTATCTTACTTCTTCCTTTTCTCTGAGTGTATGTGCTGCTCTAGCAAGTTCATTTATCCACTGTGGGATTAATAAAGTCTATTCTATTTTACAAGTGAGCCACATCACAGCTGAGCTTCAGACGAAAGGATCTGGAGTCTCATTTCCTGATATTTGGACATCTCACCTCTGATTGGATTACAGCAACACAACTCTACCACTGACACCGTTTGCTCTGCAACATTGATGTTTTATCTCCACAAGTCTGGAGGAGTTCTGCTGTGGTGGAGTTGCTAATGCTAACAGTTAGGCTCTACTAGCGGAGATGTTCTCAGCCGTTTCCTGGACGCTAAACCAACAACAGCCTTCCTCGTCATGAGTCAAGATGGGTGACTCCATGAGTGTTAAGGGGCAATGTGACGTAGATCTGTCAGGATTTTCTTAACTGAGTGCTTTTCCGTCTATTTTCCATCAGAAACTAATACAGGAGATAGGTGAAGGAGACTAATTTTATGTTCAGCCTTCACGAAAAAGTCAGAGCGACTGACAATAATCAGAAATAATGATTTAAAATATTTTTCCGGTAAAATCAACCTTTAAATAAATTAAAAGCAGAAGATCTGGATTAAATAGGTTTTTTTACTCACCTTGAGGCAGCTCATGTCTATGGGGTCCATTGGTGTCGATCTGGGACGAACAACTCTGACATCATCACAGCCACATTCGAGAAATGACCACAGCTCTACCATCAGCACCTGGACAAAACCTGCAAGACAAAATAATCAAAGTTTCATGTGAACTACAAAAAAAGCACACACCACAAGGACATAGGAGACAGATAAAACCCTCCTTTTGCTATTTATTCATCTACTTATCTTCAAAGAAACTAGTCTACAGCCCTATTTTTCCATCAGGGAAGCGTCTGCCTTAATAATGCCCACCAACAACTCCGACATGAACCCATCAGTATCACATCTAGTACGTTTGTGCTTTGGCACCTGATCTCTGCAGAGCCACAATGCCTGGAGCCGTCGCTGCCAGCTGTGTGACCATCACTCCGTATCCAAACTTCTCACAGCGACTCACCTGCAGTCAACACGGAAACATTTGCTTTGTTTTCATTTAAGTTTGCAGCTCAGTGTTTTGCATCCTGAAAGGAGCAGAAATGATGCAGGTCAGAACACTGTGGAGGAAGAGAAACGTGCAAATTGATTTTCAGAGTGTGCAAGGCCTTCGTTTATTTACAACACAATGTCACAACTAAAAATAGGCAAAGGAGGACTCTGTGCTATAATTAAAGTGTGATGTCCAACTAAAAAACCGCTATTACTAGAGTGAATAAACAATGGTGGTAAATTAGGTCCACGGCGAGTCAGCGGAGGTTTGTGAGTGAAATTTAGATGATGCATGATGGCAATACAGATATTAGAAAAGATAATTCAGCATTTAAACACCAGCTGAATACTAAGTGGATGAACATGAAATGTTTCCGAGGTCAACTAATTATCAGCTTTATGTGCAGAAAACCAAAGTACATAAATAAAAGTTGTTTTCCTGCATGATACAACTAAACTGTAGTACTTTGTGTACTCAGTTAAAGCTCATTTAAAAAGCAATAAATGAGGATTACATTTTTTCATTTTGGATCTTTATACATTGCTTTGTGCTCTTTGATACCTTTAATTCCAAAGAGTGTGGTTTCACATCAGGAAGCATCGAAAAAGCTAAAGTTAATTACTCCAAGACTTTTATAAATGATGTAACAGTAAAACTTTATAATTACTTTATATCGATGCCGGTCCGTATCAGCACCAGAAAACTAGATACTAGGTTGTTAAGGAGGCAGTACAATATACTTAGCTTACATATAAGGTACTGTATAATGTTCATTTTGAGCTTTATTTTCTATTCCTGACACCACGTAAACAGCGTTGACTCGGTTTTTAAATAAACTGCTCATTCTTCTGACGCAGCCCAATAAAAGCTACCCTCTGGTTGAACCTCTGACTGGAACGGGGAACGTAAGCACCAAAATGAAAAGGGCAGAACCCCCCGGTGTTCACGAGCAGACCCCATCCTCTTCTGATGCAAGACGTTCCAAAAACAAGCTAATCAGCAAGTCTGATGCTAAATATAAAAGTGGAAACAAAAAGCTTCGGTTGCAGCAGAGCAGAGAAAAGCACGTTTTCTTTCATCTGTTAATTCCATACTTGTTATTAACCACAAGAGAACACAACCCATCTCTGTAAGGACGATCTAATCTATCACTTGGAGCCTGGGCCGTGGTTTATACAAACCCATGTCTATGTAAGATGTGCAAACCTGACTAAATAAAAACAGGGTGTTAATTTGGTGAAGAAAAACTAATTAATACCTGTAGTTTTTGGGTGAAGCGAGAGAACATGTAGGAGATGCATTCATTGAGGGCTCCTGTCTGCTGGAGCAGCAGCAGGCCTTTAGGAGTGGCAGCAAAGTTCAGCAGGCTGTCCAACAACGTCTCCTCCCAGATGAGCCTTGGTCACGAGTCAGGAGGAAACCACAAAGACAGCCGCCCACATCAGAAAAACAAACCGTTTCCCTCGGTTTTTATGCATTTTTAACCAAAAACTAGTGGAGGATCATAAAGATGGCGGTCAGCAGCATCACTTAACTGCTCTGCCAAAAATTAAGCACACTTAATTCTGTGTGCATAAACAACGTGCAAGGAATCATGCGAGCACAAGTCAAACGGCTGAAGATGAAAGGTAAGACTTGGCATTAAGAAACTAACCCTGCTTTAATAAACAGTTTAAGTTATTTCTGTTTGGTTAAAGAATTACATTACGGACATCAATAAAATACATACGTTACATTTAATGGAATTTCTGATAAAATAAACAAAAAATCATAACAAGAGTTTAGTGCATCCAGGAGGGAAATGTGCTCTAAACAGGTTTAAAACAAATCATCTAAATCATGGAGAGTCAGTGTCTTTGAGGCAATAGAATATAAACAATCACTCTCTGGGGACTGACATGCAATATCTATACTTATGTCAATATTATTGATACCTGATATCCTTTGTCAGTTACTAATCCCCATCTGTTCGCATCTAAACTCAACTTGTGTTGGTTTAGAGGAACAAGATCATATTTTAATGTTCCGTGTGTGTGTGTGTGTGTGTGTGTGTGCGTGCGTGCGTGCGTGCGTGTGCGTGCGCACGCGTGCGTGCGTGTGTGTGTGTGTGTAAAAATCCTGATAAGGAGAAAGTTATTAGGGGCTGTAAATGGTACAAACTTATGTAAACTATTTCTGCGGTGATAAATCAGTCGGAGGGCAGAACACAAACCGTTATTAAATACTGATTACTTCCTGGATTTGTTCCAATGATTGTTTTCATTCTGGCCGTTGCCATAGAGAATTTAAACTACTGGTGTGTGCTCACGTGCTCTGCGTTTCCTGGGTGGACGTTCCGGACACTGGAGTTGGAACCCCTTCTGATAAAGATCTTGTCTAAAAATCACAAGAAAAAATAATTAAAACACTTTTGTGACATAAAAGTCAGGTACTAGCATCAGATCAGATGTTTTTGGTGATTTTGTAAACAGAACTGAATGTTCTGAAATGAAATTATTACAACACATTTAGGAATTAATGTATAAATAATAATGTTTGATTCATATCACAGTGGGAAACAGAGAGAGAGAGAGAGAGAGAGAGAGAGAGAGAGAGAGACAGAGACAGACAGACAGACAGAGAAAGAGATAGACAGACAGAGAGAGAGAGACAGAGACAGACAGACAGACAGAGAAAGAGATAGACAGACAGACAGAGAGAGAGAGAAAGAGATAGACAGACAGACAGAGAGAGAGAGAAAGAGATAGACAGACAGACAGAGAGAGAGAGAAAGAGATAGACAGACAGACAGACAGACAGAGAGAGAGAGACAGACAGACAGGGAGAGAGACAGACTACAAATGTTATGTTACAATCAACCAAAAATTTAAAACACGATGTAAAGACAGAAAGCTCAGAACTCATCTAGTAAAGGAAACACGAGTCGGTGGTGAAGCTGGCAGACCCTTGGTAGATGATACAAAGTTTATGTAGCCGTGATTGTTACGGTTTTACAGCTGATTAGTCGAGTTACGTCAACAAAAAGATGCTTAAAAACGACACCATTATTCAGATGTTTTCTGGTTTTAAGCTACGAGTGTATCCACTTCCGTTTCCCACAACATTACACAGCTTCTTAAAGCCTTTTTAATCCACTTCAGAGCAGATAAGCTGAATGTCGTTAACATAAAAAAGGTATTTACAAATACTAAGGATGAGAGCTGAACCCCTGTAAAAGAACTGGACCCATAAATGTGATGCTAGTACCTGTTTCCATGCAGCAGATAAGGCTTTGTGCAGATCATATGATCTCAGGACCTGCAGACCCTCACAGGTGTTGTACATCTGCCTGCAGACAAAGATGAACGCTCCACATAACGCATCTGATCCCCTCAGCGACGGCAGCGATCTGTCCAACAGCCTCAAGGTGAACTGGACGATGACATGAGCAGCAGAGGTTCTGCAGGGAGACAGAAAATAAAAAAGCAGCTGAAAATAAAAGAGTTGTGCTAGAACGTGTATCTGGGTACAATCAAATCTATTGGTCACAGAAATACAACTTATGTGAGCTACATGCCTTCATTTCTTGCTTGGGGGGTTTCTAGAGTGTTTTCATAGGGGGGGAAAAACAACATTCATGGGTGGATAAAGGGAATTTGTTGAATTATCCTTGGTAAATGTTAAAATTATGGCTCATTTACAAGAAGAACTTGTTGTTGGACAAGCTGAACCAGACAGCAGACTAACCAGGGTCAGATAAAGAAACATAAAACTAACATCTTAAAAAAAGATGTTGACATTGCGTCTCAGACCCACCAAAAAACCCTGTTTCTTATCTGCTCTGTGCAGAATCCTAGGATTTCTTCTTTTTTGCATGATTAAATCCAGCACTTAGCCCAGAAAATGTAGTAATCCTATCTCTGTCTCACCTCTCATTACGGAAGACAAGACTCGTCTCATACAGGAGAAGAGCCAATCCACCGTCAGTGTTTGCGATGCGAGCTAAAATATCAGCGATGAGAATCAGAGTCGCTTCAGGACACTTCAGTTTAGTCTGGGAATGAGAGATACAAATACAAATAAATCTAAATACCCAAAAGGTTTAGAAACGTGAGTTTATATTAGCTTGTGTGTGTGTGTGTGTGTGTGTGTGTGTGTGTGTGCGTGCGTGCGTGTGTGCGAGCGAGTGAGTGGGTGAGTGACCTGCTGTCCGCTGAGCAGAGCGATGACAGGAGCCAGCAGAGTTTCAGTGACGGGAGTCTGATGGAGACATTCAGCAGCACATTCTGTCCGTTCACACAGCATCCACAGGACCTCCATCACCAAGCAGCTGGGCGACAGCGGGTCTGACAACATAAACAACAAATAACCACTTTAAGGTGTTTGATGTTGTTTAGTGTTTACATGCTTCTGTGTAGTCGTGCTGACAGTTATTTCTATTTACTTTACAGCTTTGTACATCCATCCATCTAAAAGTCATCCAGCTCAGTCTGGACAAAGCATTTTGGACTTAAGATGTTCACAAATAACCATAAACAGTAAAAGAGAGTCAGTAAAATCCATCTATCTTTAATTAGGCTTTAGTCTGAACCTGAACACAGCCTAATAAATGATCAGGATGTGGAATTGAGATATTAGTTTAATCCTGAAAAAGCTGCAGCACCACCAGGACCTAATGAGGATGATTCATCTTATTGATCTTTAATAAATATTTCTGGAAGCTAAGATGAATGCACCACACACTATTTATGACTAAATCTGACTTTTAAACAATATTATTTAGCTGTAATGCCATGCGATCTTCTGATAAAGGAAAATAACAGTATTGATCACTGGCAGCAACCCTGCTAATGTGCAATCCTGAGACTGAACAATAAAAGGGAACGATTATATAAGTACCTGACTCAGTACAAGGTTAACAGATAAAGAGATACAGTCTGAGGAGTGTTTTATGTCTCACAACAGATCGCTGTGTTCCCTCGACAACCGATTCTAGACTTACAAACCGGGGTAAAACACGTGTGTGTGTGTGTGTGTGTGTGCGTGTGCGTGTGCGTGTGTGTGTGTGTGTGTGTGTGTGTGTGTGTGTGTGTGTGTGTGTGTGTGTGTGTGTGTGTGTGTGTGTGTGTGTGTGTGTGTGTGTGTCCCACCTGTGTGTGAGGTGTCACCGTGAGCAGGTCGTGGGTGTCGGTACATGATGTTAATGAAGATGACGACCAGGTTAGTCAGCGTTATTGGATCTGAAACCCAAATATAATAGAAGGGTGAGTTTGTTCTGCGTCTAGACAAGAACAGTAAAAATACTGCTGAGTCTGAGTCAAACCGCTACAATCTTCATGCATTTATTACTCAGACAAAACTCAAGTGTCAGTAGATCTGCACAAATGCTCCAATCTGCAGCTTTGGGGTTCAAAGCATGGAGTAGAGATCCATAAGAATAAACACGTTTCTGTGGTTTCAATTGTGAAAAATGTTAGTAAAACTAAACAAACTACATAAATTCCTCCATATAGATTGTGTGAGAGAATGTGTGACCTGTCACTTCTGAACATGTGGGTTGATCTTCTATGATAAACAAATAAATCAACTGCTGAGGCAAAATAAATCTATAATAAAATTATCATCAGTAATTCAAAAGGGCAGGAAGTGACATGCCAGTTGACACATCCTCCTTTGTGCCACTTGCTGTGTTTATGTTGGTGATTATGATGATGATGAGAAATAAAATCACTCCCCAGGAGGAGGGAAGGGAGCGGCACACGTGTATGGCTGATTAGAAACATTCCTGTGTGGCTTTATGATCGTAAAGATCAGATATTGTTTTGTTGTAAAATCACTGAAGAGCAGAGAGATGTAAACAAAACTTCTCTGTGACTCAACTTCTAACTTAAACACCTGCATTTCTGTCAGATCAGCAACAAATCTACTAAATATTCTGTCTTTTATATCTTACTATAACAGAAACTCTACACACGTCACAGATGTACGTGGAGGCTTGCATCACACCTTTGTGCTTCCTGGTTTTGATGGGGAAAAGCTTTCTTCCATGAGTGTAGATGATGAGTTTACCCAGGACACACACAGAGTGCACAAAGAAGGAATACTCCAGCTCCTTTCTGGAATAGACGCTCCTCTGGGAGGCACCTGGAACGTTTAAAAAAACCAAGATGTGGGAAAACAATTGTTCAAAAGCCACATCTATAGTCTCCTTCATGTAAGAACTCCAGGATTATTAGAGATTTTACTGATCACATTCATTTGACGCTAATAGAATCATTTTATGCATTTCTAGGGTGCAGAAAGGTCAGAAACCAGCACAGCTGCATCCTCCTACCACCAAACTATATTTACTAGAAGAGAAGGTAAAACGGCTCTTTCCGTTGTTATGGTTGCAGACTCCTGGCTACAGGTTTCAGCTAGGGATGCAACAATACCCCTTTTTTCTTAACCGATACGATACCGATACTTGGATCAGAGTACTCGCTGATACCGATTGCCGATACCGATACTTCTACCACACAAAAAAATGCAATGATTTGGAATACATATTTTATTTTCTTCTCTGCTTTCAACAGGAAAATACTGTGAGGTAGATAAAAAATATATAAATAGAAATCATCACAAAACTAAAATATTAGGCAAACAGAAATGACAAGTTACAGTGAAGCCATTTTAGAGCAACTGCATTACCAGTATCGGTACATTCCTAGCTTCAGCCATTTTTTCCCCATCAGCAAATTAATGAACAGGGTCCTATCTGTTTTACTTAATGCCTTCAAAATAAAAATGTATGTATCTGAACAAAACCTGGGCTGGACCTGGTGTGAGTTTATAGTGTTTAACTTACCAGGTTTGTGTTTCTCTGGATGAGGATCAGCAGTCTCGCCTGTGAAACATTCGCAGGATTCACTATAACTCACACACTGCTGAAGAGCCGCTACCACCTGAAACAAGTAAACACTTTCTGAAATGAGCAGGCTGTATACAACAGGCTTACCAAAACAGTCATCCAGTAGGTGAATGATGCACTCTAAAGTCACTGAGGAGAAAATATTTGAAACAAAAAAATAATAATAAAATCACAGTTACTCTGATCTCTAGGGATGTCTCGATACAACTTTTTCACTTCCGATACTATACCGATATTGCATCCTTCAGTACTGACCGATACCGAAATAAATCCGATACGATATCAGCACTTATCATACATAACTTTACCTATACTGTAGAGTGGAATGTATGAAAGGCTTGATCAAGTGATATTACTCAATCAGAGAACAAGAGCCAATAACAGTAAGAATGAAAAAAATGACTATTTTTTTTAGGGATGTACAATATGTCGGCATCAATATTGGTATCGGCAGATGTTAGTCATTTTTTTACATATCGGTGTCAGTCAGATAAATAAAACTGTGCCGATATTAACAACTAATATTTTTTCCATCTTATTTCTGTTTATCAGTTTCAGAGGGTGAGGGGGGTGGTGTGTATTTGTTTGGTCATGTGACATAATAAATTCAACTTTAATCATTTTCATTCTATACAAAATCTGCTGATTTTAGAATCATTAATGTCAGTATATCAGAATCGGCAAATATCGGTTATCGCCCATAACAGTGATATTAATATCGGTATTGGCCAAAAAAATTCATATCGGTGCATCACAAATTTTTTGAACCATTGGTTGCAAAAATGTGAACCCTAACGGACTGCTTATGTCGGAGATTTTTGATGGAGTCCGATATAATCCGATAGTGTTTTGGGGCCGATATCGAATTATTTCCGATATCGATATCGGAACAGGACATCCCTACTGATCTCTGAGGCCTTGTTAAGTGTGTACCTTTTATAGTGGCCCAGTCTTACACATCAGATGGTAAATCTTATGTAAAACCTGAAACTTTAAACTCTGACTAAGTACTCCAGCTAATTGCCTTCTATCAAAGTCAGTAATGAATCTCGACAATTCAAAAAAAAGTCCAGTAAAACTACGAGGAACCAGGAGCTGCTACAGATAAAACCGATCGCTTCAAACTTCTGTTTTGCAAATCCAGCACTTTGAAAAAGTTGGTAAAAGTACTTGTCAGAATATTTTGTACAAAGGAGCTGTTGAAAGGTGCTAATTAGTGAGCGACCCACTCACCAGAGGCTTGTACTTCCTCTCCAGCAGCTTGAGGACCACCGTCCTGCTGTAGTAGCCATGCTGAGAGAGGGAAGAGTAGGTCATCGTGAACCAGAGAAAAATAAAACCCTTAAAAAAATATATATTCTATATAAACATATCTTCAGTTGCCATACGCACCATCCATTTATTAAACCACGTAGCTTTAATGTCCAGTAAGGCCAGCAAGTGGACTGGTTCCAGTGTTTTCTCAGAGCCACGATCATGATGGAAGGACAGCAGGGAGAAAGTGCTCTCTATGATCTCTTCCATGTATCTAAAGCAGAGCAGAAGGACAAAAACATGGAGGATCAGCAGGAGTAACCTTAGAAAGTCTAAAGACGTCTGTTCTGATGCTAAACATTGCCTCTGATTCAAGGTTTAAGCAAATATGAATCTGGGAACGTCTTAAAACTGTGAAAAGTTTGGTGATTTGACACCGACTCACTTCTCAGGGTGGCGAATCCAGAAGGTCGTCACCTCCTTCTGAAAGTCGTTCATTAATCGAATCTGAGGTGAGGCAGAAGGAGGGAATAAAACCACCTGCTGTTCTTTGTCAGGATGATAAAACTTGAGAGGTCGTACCTGTTTGAGAAGGCGGCTGATCTGAGGACTGTTGATGTCGACGGCAGCCGAGCCACTCGGAAAGCTCAGCTTGAGAGTCAGAAAGGTCGACTCCACGTTTTTTGCTGCTCATGAACAACAAAACAAAAAACGAGAAAATCATCTCAGGGTGCATAATATATGTTTTACAGTACTTCTGATAATGCACAGTTTTATTTTAAACTCTATTCATGTTTCATTGTGGAAAAACAAAGTAAACTGATGGACTAACAGTACTTTACAACGAACCCTCGGAGCTTAATTTAAGGATGCTTGGACAGCAATAAGATGTTAATTTAAATAAAACATGTCTTTAAGGGTTAGGGTTAGGGTTAGTCCAAACATGAAGATGCTAAATGAAAACGGTTACATTGACCAACCCAAGCTGGTGTAGATCTCTCGTGTTACATTCAGCGGAGATGAAGAGAAGCTTTTAGCAAAAAACTGCAGCACATGTTCCTGATGAAGGTAGGAAAACAGGGAAATGACATCACCAGCACACTCGTATGGAGAATTAAAACCAGTTTAAGCAGGCTTGACCGATTACAGATTGAGCCGAGGCTGCTCCAGACTCACACTGAGGTCAGGTTCCACCAGAGCTGCACAGAGGTTCCTACGCAGGACGCTCCAGCTCTCACAGCTCAGAACATCCGATGGAGGAGCGCAGCAGAGAGCCCTCAGAGCCTCAAAACGTACCTAAACACAAACTCATGTCGTTTACTAAAACGGCACAGTTCACACCGACAGAATCCTGTGTTCTTTGTTGCAGCTGATCCCATTAAGCCCTGGTGATTAACTGTGCTTCTTCAGGAATTTTATTTCTTTATATTGTCACAAAACTTTAGATTTGCTGAATATAACCTAACTGTCAGGCTCTAAAACCGCAGTCCTCTGTAGCAAATGTACTAAAGCAGAAACAGAACCCTGTCCAATGTTCCTCTTGTACCTCTTTGGGTTTGCTGGAGTCAAGTTTTTCAGCCAAAACCTGCAGCTGCTCTCGTCTGAGAAACACATAACTCTGGAGAGGAAAAGAGACATAAACCAAGAATTATTGTTATAAAACGGACCAGATTTCCTGTTTGCAGGGCACAAGCAGTTTCAGAAATTAATTATATTCATCTACGGCTGGGTTTGCTCTCAAACGTGGAATGAGATCGGAGCTAGCAAAGTCCCTAATAATTTATTCCTTTTATAATAAAAAAAAATTCAACAGTTTTTTCCTTTCAGGTGAGATGTGGTGGAATCCTGACCTGGTGGAAGGAGGAGTCGCTGTCTGAGCAGTTATCTGTGTACTGGTACTGGATGTTGGACTGACTGGGGTCCGTCTCTCGGTGCATCTCCTCCTTCCTCAGCTGGTCCTCCTCAAACTTGTTGATTAGAGACTCCACAACCACAATCATTGTGTTTTTTAAAGTCTGTATCATCTGCTGGTATCTGTTAGAGAAGGAAAGTGATTTAGTTTAACTACCCAAGTCCAGTTTGCTGCAGTTTGAGACCAAACCTATAATCTGCCCCGCTGCGTGTGTCTACTCCCGATGATCTTGTCATTCAGTACAATAACGGTCTGGTTTCTATCCTTAATTCATTTGCTCCCATCAAATCCCGCTCTGTATATTTTACTCGGTCTGCTCCATGGTTCACCCCTGCCCTTCGCTCCTTGAAAGCTACCAACCGGAGGCTTGAAAGACTCTACAAGAAAACCGGTCTCACCATCCATAAAGACTTATATTCTGCTCAGATTTCTCTCTACAAGGACTCCATCTCCCATGCCAAATCTCAGTATTACTCCGGTCTCATCTCGTCCAACTCCAGCAACACTAAAACATTATTTTCCATCATGAACAGCATTTTTCAGCCTCCCGACTCCTTACCCATCCATCTTTACTCTTCAGAAACCTGTAACTCTCTCCTTCAGTTTTTTAATGAGAAGGTCAATAGAATCCATCTCTCTTTACCTCATTCCTCCCCTCCCTCTCCTGATTTATTTGAACCCACCATTCCGTTCTCCTCCTTTGAACTTCCCCATCCCTCAGAAATATTAGATTACATCACCAAATCCAAACCTTCCACCTGTCAACTGGACCCTATTCCAACTGTTTTAGTTAAATCCTGCCTTTCTTCTCTGCTCCCTTTTATAACAGCCATTATTCATTCCTCACTATCCTCTGGTACGGTCCCATCCCTATTCAAATCCGCTTCAGTCAGCCCTATTCTAAAAAAACCTGGTTTAGATCCCAATGATTTCAATAACCTCCGTCCCATTTCCCATCTTCCCTTCATTTCCAAAGTCCTTGAGAAAACTGTTGCATCTCAGCTCCATTCACATCTCACCCGCAATAACCTTTATGAACAGTTTCAGTCTGGCTTCCGTCCCCACCACAGCACAGAAACAGCTCTCATCAAGATCACTAACGACCTACTCATTGCTGCTGATTCTGGTTTAATCTCTATTCTTATTCTCCTCGATCTGAGTGCGGCCTTTGACACCATTTCTCATCCCATCCTCCTTAACAGACTCTATTCCTTAGGCATCACTCACACCCCCCTCCGCTGGTTTCAATCTTACCTTACTGGCCGCACTCAGTTCATCCAGTTAAAATCCTTTACCTCAGAACCCTCCCCAGTCAAGTCAGGTGTGCCCCAGGGCTCTGTCCTGGGGCCCCTCCTCTTCATAGTATATCTCCTCCCTATCGGCAAAATCTTCCGCAAATTCAATATCCAGTTTCACTGCTTTGCAGATGACACCCAGCTCTACATTTCCAGTAAGCCCAACTCAACTCTCCCACCATCCTCCCTTACACTCTGCCTCTCTGAAATCAAATCATGGTTCACCTCTAATTTCCTCAAACTCAACGGCAATAAAACTGAACTTCTTCTTGTTGGCACTAACTCCACGCTCTCAACATCTGACAGCTTTTCTTTAACTATTGACAGTGCCACAGTCTCCCCCTCACCTCATGTCAAGAGTCTGGGTGTCATTCTCGACAGCTCCCTTTCTTTTCAGGCTCACATTAATAACTTAATTCGGTCAGCATACTTCCATCTACGTTCCATAAACCGTCTTCGTCCCTCACTGACCCCTCACACTGCCGCCATTCTCGTCCACAGCCTCGTCACCTCCCGTCTCGACTATTGCAATTCACTTCTTTATGGTCTTCCCAACAAACTCCTTCATAAACTGCAACTGGTCCAGAATTCAGCAGCCCGTATTATCACCAGAACCCCTTCCTTTCACCACATCACGCCGGTTCTCCAGCAGCTTCACTGGCTCCCAGTTAAATTCAGGCCCATCTTCAAAATTCTCCTCCATACCTTCAAAGCAATCCACAACCTCTCTCCTCCATATATCTCAGACCTTATAAGTATTCACACCCCGTCCCGTTCACTCAGATCTTCTTCTTCCATCCATCTTGCGGTTCCTTCTGCCCGTCTCGCTACCATGGGGAGCAGAGCTTTCAGCCGCTCTGCTCCTCGACTCTGGAACTCACTTCCCCCAGACATCAGGAACATCGACAGTTTTACCCTTTTCCAATCAAAACTCAAAACACATATGTTTAAATCTGCCTACAACCTCTGATTTTATTGAAATGTTTCTCTCTGTTTTTTCTTCTTTGGGTTTTATTATTGTTTTATTGTATTTTATTACGTGTTTTGTGTAAAGTGACCTTGGGTGTCCTGAAAGGCGCTTTGAAATAAAATGTATTATTATTATTATTATTAATTGTGCACAAAACCAGATTGGTTACAGTAATTAATCCTGTGCTGTGTACTAAAGTCTGATTTGTTCTCAGTTATTTATCTTTCTGACTTCATTAAGAAAACAAAAAATATATAATTTTTATCATGTACCAAACCTGAACATTACCACCAACATACTACAGTCAGCATTAACACTTAAAATGAATTATCTGGTCACATTATTCAGTGTTTCTAAGATTTCGCAGGTTCACAAACAGCAATCTGTGAATACAGTTATGTAACGTGGCACCCTGAGCCACACTCACTCAGCAGAGTCTCCAGTTCTCCGAGTCACTGCGTGAATTAAGGTGTCGTGTCCTGAGCCGACCGCATGCTGTCCTTCTCCCCTGGTTGTGTTCTTTAGCTCTTCCTCCACTGCAGACCCCAGAGACCTCTCTACATACTGACGGAGGTACTTGACAAACTCATAACTGAAAGCAGAGTCATAGAAAAAATAAAGACTTCAACTGGGCTGAAGCTGGTTCTGGGTGGACTTACTTGTGGAAGTTTTTGTCAGTCTCCTCTAGGTGAAGGAGGATCTCTTCAGCACATTCAGTGGATGGTGCAGCAGAGATCTTATCACTGATGCTCTTCAGGAGCTCCTTGAGGAGGGATTGCAACTCCTCCTCATCTTCAGCTGATAACTGGGACATCTTTGATGATGTTGCATATGAAAGGGAAAAAAGCTTCAAACTGTTATTTTGAATAATTAATGTGGCAAGTTATCCAATATCTTAACAGCTGGTTTTAAATAGTCTAAGTCAAGTGCAGGACTAGGCTTATTTAATTTAGAATAGGGATCAATGTAAATCAGCCTCATGAACACATTTCCTCACACTTGTGCCATAAAGACCTGATTATTCTCAAAGTTTCTTAAACCAATGCTGATTAGCTGAATTTCATCAACCTACAGTCAAGTACAGGATTTTATTAAGGAGGGTGTTTAAATATGAACATAAAAGCAGCTAAATGTCTCTCACATTTGGTAATGTCCAGTCCAGATTTGGGAACACACTGATTATTACGTGTGATAAAATGGCTTCTGAAAGACGAGGGAGGCTCTGCAAAACGTCTCCAACTAAGTGATCTTTTGGACATTTAACTTTTATTAAAATGTGTATGTGTGGACATAAATGTTGCCTTACAGCATGAAATAAAAATTAATCAATTCAATAGTGATGGCATTAATGTAGGTCAATTTTGCAGCACCTACCATGAATTTGTAACAAAGCAAGTAAATTATATGGGATAACCCACTCAGAGTTATTTGAGAAATTAATCTAAAACAGTATTTGTTCATGCAGCACAACTAAGTCAAAAAAAAACACACATTATTATACAACACAGGGATTTAACTCTTCCTGGTGTTCAAAAGAACCCCAAATGTGAACCTACTCCAGAACAGCTGAGGTGGAAACCATTCCTCGAGTAAAATGTGTGGAACTGGTCATTTTTATTGTTTTGTTATCATTCTTGGTAACTTGGTTAGTCTATTTTCAGCGCACGTGAGTAATTAGTTCATTCTCAACAGGTGTGAGAGCTGGCTTCCGTTCTGACAAAAGGGTCATTAAAACTGTCTCTGACCCCTTTGTTCCTCACAAAACAAAAATATATATAAAATCGTGAAATATTTGCTTATAGTATCCACGCAAACAAATAAACTTTAAAGCTAAAGCGACTAAATGCGTGAACTAAATAAAGGACATAATTAACGCAGCTAACCCAAAGCAAAATTAGCCAGATCTTAGTGGAAAAAAAGCGCTTAAAACTGAAATTCTGTTTGCGCGACAAAAAAATCGAACCAAACTGAAAGCAGTCATTTAGGACATGTTTTGTTTTACCTTTTATTGTGCTGGTTAACACTTTTATCCTTGTAACATCCTGACAGCCCTTGCAAAAGACAGCCGTATCTCTATGGAAACAGCTACAGTGTGGTAAGCGCAGTGCATTGTGGGATGCTATTAGTATAATGGGGAAAAACGAAATATGAAATGTTTTTCTTCTAATAAAAGCGCATTCCTACATAAATTACACACGTAAAAATATATTATAATTAAAAATGTATGTTCCTACTTAAAACTACTCAGTATTCTTCTAAGGCGCATATTTTCTTATATATTTATATTTTGACTGTTTTTTCTGTTGGGTCTGTGAAAGCAGCACCACTGACGCATGCTGTCACGTGACCCAATGTTTTGTTTCTTTGCAGTGTGGCGAATAAAAACCCGTTTCTGAGTGTGGAAACGTGTCAAATTAGCTATTTTTTATCGGATATTTATTATTTATTGAATATGTTTTACTGTCCAGACTAACTAGTCCCCAACATTAATAATTAGGGCGTATTCAGGATAAGTGTAAGCAGAAGGTCAGGATAATAGCGTGGATCATGGCGGCAGTTGACAGCTTTCAGTTTTTGTACAGGGAAATTTCTCGGTCATGCGGCTCTTACTTTGAGACCCTGGCCCTGGTCGGAGCTCTGTACACCGCCAGCAGGGCAGTAATCCTGCTGAGTGACTGCTGCACCTTGGTTAGGGTGCATTTTCTACCCAGAATGCTCCCAAGTAGGAAGCTGACCCAAAGATATGGTGACTGGGCTGTAATTTATGGTAAGAATAATTTGCATCAGGATGGAAAGACTTGTGTTTTGCGGTAACATTGAGTAAAAAGAGCAATGCGTTTTTGGGGGCTATTTACATTTAAGAAGCTGCAGTCAGGAGGTATTTTGAATGCTCATTTGTGTTTTAAGCCACAATAGGGTTCGTTTTCATCTTAATTATAATTTTATCTGTTCTTAATTACTATTTGTTCATAATGTTCTCATCTTTTTTTCTGTCAGGAGCATCTGAGCCTGTAGCCAGTGCATATGCAGAGGAGCTAGCCAGCCACGGCATCAGCATTATCTTCATCACTCAGGACAACACCTCTGTTAGGGACACCGCTGCATCCCTCTCCCAGATCTACGGGGTGGAAACCTCTGTTGTGATAGCCGACTTTTCCCTGGGACAAGCAGCGAGCAAACCCATCAAAGAAGCCTTGAGGGGTAAAGATATTGGCTTCCTGGTGAACTGCGTGGATGAGACATTGGCCTCCCCTCAGAGCCTGATTGAAATGCCTGAGCAGGACCTGTTGGATCAGGTGAATAAGAACGTCACAGTTGCTACTCTGATGACCAGATTGGTGCTGCCGGGGATGGTGGAGCGCAGCAGAGGGGCTGTGGTCAATATATCCTCAAGTGCCTGCTGTAGACCCCTGCGTGGAAGAGTGGCACTCACGGCATTCACCGTAAGACCTATAAATCTTGTTTCACAGCAGTGGCTTTGTTAGGAGATGAGAGCATTGATTACTCACGTTCATTTGATAGACCCTAGCAGCGAGAGTCACTTTTCAAAGGGATTTTTAAGCAGAGTTTCATGGTTATTTGTCCTTTTTTATTGTGGGATTTATACAAAAACCCAAGATTTTAGCCTGATTTTTTTATTTTTATTTTTGTAACATTTCAGGGATATCTAGATAATTTCTCAAAAGCGCTTCATCTTGAGTACAGTGACAAAGGGATCTTCATCCAGAGTCTGATTCCTTTCCAGGTAATCCACTTCTATCTGTATTACTGGCTGCATATTGATTTATTTGTTTATACTCCTGTTTATTTTTTAATTAAACACTTAAATGAAATCAGCTTTATCCAGCTTTGAAGCGCCTCGTGATTTTTATCTTGAGGGGTGCTATAGAAAAGATTGTTTTCTTTCAGTGTCACCTTCTTTGTCATTTCAGATAGCTTCAGGCGGACGGCAGCCATCTTCACGTCCACTGTCACAACGAGAAGGTTGGTTTGTTCCAAAGCCTGAGGTTTACGCTCGCCACGCAATTTCCACACTGGGCGTCTCTAACAGAACCACCGGCTACTGGCCTCACACGCTCCAGGTTGGTACAAAATCACCTCTTTAGGTTCCTAACAAAAACACAAGATAATTAATTGAGATCAAACGGATGACAGTGATGTATTACGTCTTTATGAAGACAGAATTTGAATCATAAAACAGGTTTCTGTTCCTCTTTGATCATTTTCCCCACAGTACGGAATGATGAGGTGCGTTCCCGAGTGGATTTGGATCCTCGGATCACGGATGTTCGTCAGCGCAGCTTAAGAGCTTACAAGTCTGGTTCTCTATCTTGTTACACGACTAATATTGAGGTTCACTTGCTTCTGATGTTGTTTGAATTTGCTAAAACTGTCAAGTTTTGTTAAAGAAACAGAACAAATTAGCCACAAATTCCTGTTCAAACTGGATGTAAAACTGTTTTTGTGAACAACAAAGAGCAGGTCAGTCATCACTGTAGGAGATAATTATAATAATAATAATAATAATAATAATAATACCACTATAAAACACTCTGCTTGATGTGTGGACACATTTGATCCGCTTTGATTTAATTTGCAAGCACAGACTAATTAAGTATTATGCTTTTGTTTTCATTACATTCATGTGATAAAGCTGCATTACCTTTATTTTTTTTATTTTGACAAACAGAAAAACTTGAAAGATGAGCAGACACTTAAAAAGATCCTAAATCTGACGACTTTCTTGCACCATTATTATGTCTGCAGCTTATCTGGCATTCCTTCATAATAAGAGACTCGTGCGTGTTCCAATGGAGGTTAAGCTTTAAAACTAGGAGGACGGTATTCATGATGCAGGACGAAGCTTTGGATGTTTGAAGTACAGCGAGAGTTTGATGCTGGAGAATTTTGTTTTTGAATAAATAATGAAAGATTTTGATGCTTTTATTTTGTTGAGACGTGTGGATTTTGTGAGAGAAAATAATGAAATTATCAACCGTTTGACCTGATTTTGGTTTTGGATCAATAAAACATTCCTTCCGTCCTTGTGTCACTTTCCTGTTTATTTAATCTGTGTTTCATCTCATTGGTTAAAGTTTATCCTCATAAAGGCAGAGACTTTACTGTTTTTTTAACCTGATAAGTTTAATCAGCTTGTTTCAGGGCAGACGTGCACACTTTGCTTTTTTTATTTCCTCTTCAAAACAGAGAGTATGTGTGAGTCATCCACATGAAAGAGCAGATAGAGTTCTACCTGCGACCTGTCAGAACCGGGTCAGAGGCACGCACACCGAGTGCACTTTGTCACAGACGTCATGCGCCAAGTCAAACCTGGTTGTTACAGTCGGCCATGTTCATGCTCGTGTCACTGAAGAGATGCCCGGCTTCTTTCCGGGTAGAAATATGAAGCATTGTGCTTTTGTAAAAACAAAAAAATTCAAATTAACTTTGCTCACTCACTCATTCCCTTAACCACTTATTAGGGTGGGTGGGAGCTGAGGCAGGAGGACACCCAGGATGGGAAATGAGACTGATCTGATACACCAATAAGTTTTCATCTGCTTAAATAAAAGAATCACAGCCTGGAGGTCTTCCCTTTTTCTGTCCTAGGTATTTCACAAGCTTCCAGTCTGGATCTGGAAGTCTTTGGCCTTGTTCTCCTCCACTTTAGTGCACATCTGCCCATTTAACATTATTTGTTTTTATCATTAACTCAGTAAAGTTGCATTAAAAGCACGCAGATTAATATTTGTTGTTTCACGACATGTTTAAACCCAAACTACTCAATAACTCACTCAAAAGCACCTTAATTGTTTCTGCACTGATTTCCTTTTCAGCATTTGAAAAGGCGACTGGAAGAAAACCCCATTAAAGTTTAACCAACTCTAAATAAAAAAGCAAGGCAACACTTAAAGTTAAATTTTAGGTTATTTTGTGCTGCTGTTCACGTGCAGTCCTGGTGCTGAGGTCTGATGTTGTGGTTTGAATCGTGTCCTTCCAGATAAAGTCAGACAATGAAGCATGAGGAACTTCTTCACTCCTCTTCATTAATCGCTGGAGGCGTCGCATCTTTCCTCCACATTTCCTCCTTTTATTATCTTCGTTCATCAGGTGAGTTACCTTTTATATTTTGGTTGATTTCAAGTTTTCACAAAATGTTAAACAATGTCTGATTTTACAATAAAGATGGATCCTCTTGTTTGTTTTGGACTACTGGAGCTATAAGTGGAGATGTGTTTGTACATTTATGTAAAGATGATTTAGACAATTATTAGTGTTTGACTTCACACTTTAAAGGCATTACTAATCAAATATTTGCTATTTTAAAAAGGCTTTTATTTTTTCAAAAGCTACAAAACCAGAAGCAACTTAAGAGAAAAATCTAAATAGATTCTTATTTTAGGTCGATCTGTAATTGCGCACAAGTGGGTAATTTAAATAGATTTTCTTGGTTTTTTGCAATAGTTTAAGGTTTAGTTTAGCTTGGCCCTTAGATGAGCGTGTTTAGGAGACAGCAGCTGTGGAGTTTATCTCCTAAGTTTGGCCTTGTGACAGCTACAGGCTGTCTGCTCTGACCCAGCAGGTCCAAAATGTGAAATAAAACATCACAATCCAGGTTAAAACCTGGTAACGGAACGTTTTCTGTTGGTCAGTGCAGTTGTTTTCCTATAATGAACAAATAAACAAGTTTAAAACTGTTACAGAACGGTCCAGACCTTACTTGAATAAGCCCGTTTCAACCCAGCGGACCCAGAATCAGACGCATATACTACTGAATGTGATTCTCTTTGTGCTTTAATGAATGATCATTTTTCCTCAGAAATAAAGCAGGACAGCTGGTATTCGCCATGGGAGAGTGGGACCTACTGGGCCGCCTGCTGGATAAAGTGCAGAGCAACTCCACGGTGATTGGAAAAGTCTGGCTCACGGTTCTGTTTGTGTTCCGGATCATGGTCCTACACACCGGCGCTGAGAAGGTCTGCTTGTCATACAGAGCAACAAACATCTGCTTCCGTAGAGGTTTCAGGGATCATCTGTACCATGTGATCTGTTCCAGGTGTGGGGGGACGAGCACTCGGGCTTCGTCTGCAACACTCAGCAGCCCGGATGTGTGAACGTCTGCTACGACCTCGCCTTCCCCATCTCTCACATCCGCTTTTGGGTTTTTCAGATCATCGCCTTAGCGACGCCAAAGCTGCTGTACCTCGGCCACGTCCTTCATGTGATTCACGTGGAGAAGAAGGTGTGTTGCTGATGACACTGATAACTAGTCAATCATTTGTTTATCAGACGTGCCACACCTGGAAAGTGGTTCGATACATTTCAAACAGCCCTCGTGTCGACGTTTGTTACAGGCAAAAATAAGATCAGTAGTGTTTCTGACCTTTATAAAGGTTTCAGTCATTGTCGATACATAAATATGATCCACGGGACTAAAGGCTCCTTGAACACCATAAAACAATTTTAAACTCTGGAGTAAAACAAGGCTCATCAGTTCATTTGATCAGAAGATTATCAGCCGTGTGATGATCAAGGCTTCGCAGAATTGTTATAATTCAGCCACACTGGAGGGTTTTGAAGCATGAACGGCATGTTTAAGGTCAAATGTCGAACATCTTCCTTCAGGATGTTCTGCAAGAGAGCAAAATTCATGTTTCCATCAATTACAGCAAGTGGTTCTGGTCCTGAAGCAACAACCCAGCCCCAGACCATCACACTACCACCGCTGTGTTTGACTGTTGCTATGATGCCTTTTTTTAGTGTTAATTTTACTCCTAATGGACGCACACCTTCCAGAAAGGCCCATCTTTGCCTCATCAAAGAATATTTGACCAAAAGTCATCAAGAAGTTTTCTTTAGTAATTCTGACAGAGGCCTTGTTCTTGGTCAGCAGAGGTCTTAGACCTAAGAAGACCCCCCCCCCCCCCCCCCCCCAGCCATCTATTTTTGAAACATGTCATTTGACGTTAACCAAGTGAAGATTGCAGAGCTTTAGATTTAGTCCTGTGGGTCTTTTTTCTTTTGCAGAATGGAGCAAGTCACTTTTTGAGATCGTTTAGCCTGCCTCATGTTGTCAGACAGGTCCTGATCAAGAGACCTGGTCTGGGTTGGACTAGTCAAAGTGAACTCTGTTCTGTTCTGTGAAATAACCTTTTTCACATGCTAGCTTGGTTTGGATAAGGTGCTGTCTTCCTTCTGTGAAAAGGCTCTTCTAAAAAGCCACATTATGAAAAGAAAAAACAAAACAATGCAAAGGTCCACATCTAGGCTCACCCTACAGACACAAGATCTGAACTCCCTGAACTCCTCCATTACTACCACCCTCCTCGTGCTCTTAGGTCTGAAGATCAGCTCCTCCCAACTGTCCCTAAGGCACGTTTGAAGACCCGCGGGGAAAGGGCTTTTTCTGACTGTGCCCCAAAATTGTGGAACTCATTACCTCTTCAGGTTAGGCAAGCACCCTCTATTGCCGTTTTTAAATCACGCCTGAAAACCCACGACTTCTCCCTGGCCTTCAACTCCCAAACCATAAAGCATTAACTCATCCTTAGTTTTTCCACCTTGTTTGTTCGATTTAAAATTTGTGTTTTTATATTCTGGTTTTACTTGTTCTATTGGTTTTAGTTTGTTGTTCTTTTATCTTTTTTACTTCATATGATATACACGACTATTTTAGCTTGTGTTTTTTATTCGTTTTTATGTGCAGCGCTTTGGTCGGTTGTAATGCCGTGCTGAAAGCGCTCTACAAATAAAGTGGTATGGTATGGTATGGTATGGTATGGTATTATCTGAAGGCTGCAGAATATGTTACAACACCGGCCTGCGACACACACAAGCAGAAACGCAGCTCTGCTCTGAACCGAACAGAACCTCCACCCACTCGTTTCATGTCAGTTAAATGCACACTTCATGAAAGCTTCAAAGTTGCTTCTAATGTTTAATTCCCCAAAACTAAGACATTGTTTTTGTTTCACTCAGCTAATTTGGTCTTGGGTGTCTAAATCAAAAATGTCTAATTTTGACTTTTGTCTTTAAAAACCAGATGATGCAGAGGATGAAGAACCAAGGAGAGCTGGATGAGCAAGCCGGTCTCTTCCTCAGGAGGACTTTCAAAGTTCCAAAGTACACCAAAGGCAAGGGGAGGATCAACCTCCGTGGCCGGCTCCTTCGCAGTTACGTCCTGCATCTTTTGGCCAAGATCGTTCTAGAAGTTTTGTTCATCTTTGGTCAGTACTATCTTTACGGTTTCACCCTCGAGCCTCGCTACGTGTGCACCCGCTTCCCCTGCCCTCACAAGGTGGACTGTTTCCTGTCCAGACCCACCGAGAAGTCCATCATCATCTGGTTCATGCTGGTGGCGTCTTTGGTCTCTCTCGCCCTCAGCATCATCGAGCTGCTCTATCTGTGTGTGAAAGCTGTCAAAGAGTGTATGGTGAGAAGACAGGACTACACCGTGACCCCGGTGACCCCTCCAGTCTCAGAGAAGAAGAAGAAGGCTTTTAAAAACCGGGACGAGACGAAGCCGAATCGCGTCAACCTGGAGTTGGAGCAGCCGGGAAAGAAGCTGGTGATGAACGGGACCACCGGAGGGGTTGGAGAGGGAGCCAACACGTTACCTTCTGACAACATCGGGGAGATCCACATCTAAAGCATTATTATTGGAAGTTTGAGCCCAAATCCTGATAGTTCTGTTTGCTTTGGTGGAAGCTGGAAGGGAGAGTTTGTGGAGTAAATAAGAAGGGGGGGTTGAGCAGCTTCAGTAAACACAACTCAGTCACAGCCGAATGTTAGTAAAATAAGTTCAAAGGACCACCGTGACACTAAAACGTGACTACCACGTTTACACGCAGCTGACAAAACCATAAAAAACATCAACTTTTTAAATTATACATTTTTTACATTCCAATTCCATTTTTTTTTTCAATAAACTTCATGTTTGGATTTCAGAGCAGTGTGTTTGTTCTTTTTTATCACTTTTTTATTTTTCTAGCATGAGCAAGTGGAGATTTTTACTTCTAAAATGAGGACACTAATTATTTATTTTGTGCAACTTTTACAAAGCTAATGCAATTTCTTTTTGCAATCAGAAAAAATGCTTTTATTCCTAATCTAATTTTAATTTTTGCGAAACCGACAAAGTTTTCCAAAAGAATTCAGCTTGTGGTAATCGGATACATCTGGTTGAAGGTTATCTACTTGCTCCTTTCACACAGAGACAATCTTTCTGGTCACAGAGTCGATAAATAACTTTCTTCACGGTAAAAGCTCAAAGTATTGATTTTAATTTTGTCTCCAAATTGCATCAGGTTTTGCATAAATGTGACCCAGAGATTGATTCGTGTGAAAATTGTTCATACTGGAAAACAAAAGCAGAACATTTTTTATAAACAGATCCTTCATCGTTTCAATGATTGCCAAACCTGTTTATTTTCAAAACCTTGTCAATCATTACGCGCTCGTCCTGCTGGTTGTCTCTCTTCAGCTTTTTCTGTCCAAGTTTGCTGATGGTTACAACGTGAAGTTAAAGCCAGGTGTGTGTTGCGTAACGTGACCCTCATGAGTTCTGCACAAAACTCCAAGGTCCAACTATAGTTAGCGATCTGCCCCGACCAGAGACAGTTCTTCCTGATCAGATCAACAGGTAAGATGCTGTCATTTCTCCTCTCTGCTACACCTTTGTGATCAATGTAACTAAACGTTAGCTTCCAGGGACACCGATCAAAGGTTTATTTGGTTATTAGGAGTTCTTCATTGGTATTTTAAACCAAAAATATCCTTTTTAAAAGCTGCATAATCTTAAAAAAAAATTTTTGAGAGTTGGTTGCATTTGTGGCATCAGATTTATTTCGTTATCCTCAAAAATACAATTTTGAGTGATTACAAATGTTTTTAGCCAGAGATTTGTCGTTTTTTGTTCTTGCATGGTTTTGTCACTGTGACTCATGGATGATGGCATGCATTTTCCATCTAAATTACTAGTTAATCATTTTTTAGGGAAAATATTGACCAAAATACTCAAGGTTCAGTAAGGCCAGACTTTCTTGTTCAGTCTCAGGTTCAACAGGAGGAAACATTATTTATCCATCAACCAGTGAGTCCTTTCCTTCCTGCAGCAGTGTATTGATTAGATGATAAAATGTGGTTAATAATTCTGCCATCAGGTGTGCTTTAGGGTCTCTGAGATCAGAATCAGGGCGTTAGTTTTATCGACTAACTCCTTACACAGTTTCCCTTCCTTTTATAACAGATTAGAGCCATTGGGGAAGATGGGAGACTGGGGATTCCTCTCATCATTACTGGAGCAAGTCCAGTCCCATTCCACGGTGATTGGGAAGATCTGGATGAGCGTCCTGTTCCTGTTCAGGATCATGGTTCTGGGAGCGGGTGCTGAAAGTGTCTGGGGAGACGAGCAGTCTGGTTTCATCTGTAACACTCAACAGCCTGGTTGTGAGAACGTCTGCTACGACTGGACCTTCCCCATCTCCCACATTCGCTTCTGGGTTCTGCAGATCATCTTTGTCTCCACGCCGACGTTGGTCTACCTGGGCCACGCTATGCACATCATCCATAAGGAGAACAAGCTGAGGGAGCTGATCTCCAGTCCTGGCGGGCCCAGAAAGCTTAAACAGCCTAAATACAGCGATGAAAAAGGACACGTGAAGATCAAGGGGAACCTGCTGGGGAGCTACCTGACCCAGCTGATTGTGAAGATCCTCATTGAGGCCGGATTCATTGTGGGACAGTACTACCTGTATGGCTTTGTGATGGTTCCCATGTTCGCCTGCTCTAGGAAGCCCTGCCCCTTCACCGTGGAGTGCTACATGTCCCGACCCACAGAGAAAACCATCTTCATCATCTTCATGCTGGTGGTGGCCTGCGTCTCTTTGTTCCTCAGCGTTCTTGAGATTTTATACTTGCTCTGCACTAGAGTGAGATGTGGGTCCAAGCATCGCGCTCACAGAATCACCTCAGCAGAAAACCCGGCCAGCCTGTCGGGTCCGAGGTGGCCAGCCTCAGACGAAGCACTCAGGCAGAACAAGATGAACATGGAGATAGAGAGCAACCACAGCATTGGAGGAAGCCTGGACGGAGCCAAGGAGGAGAAACGACTACTGAGCGGCCACTAAAACCCTCAGATCTCACCATTTAAATATCATTTATTCTTTTAGGATTCTGCCTTCTTGTTTAAATGCATTCCAGAGACTTGAACTAGTCATCACAGCAGAAAATTAAAAAAGAGCTCTGTTATCGTTTAATTATGCCTAAAATCATTCCCAAATAAACAATATACAGAGGCATATTGATGTATTAGTACATTTATTTTTTAATAGAACTCTACTAATGAACAAGTGCAATAGTGATGTATTTCTATTATAGGTTGTAACTGAATGTGTTTGGGGCCAGCTGTTGTTAAATGTCTTCTTAAAGTGGTTTCAATGCTCATTTTCTTGAACGTGTCTAAAAGAAAAATTGCTTTCTGAACTATTATGACAACGTTTGTGGCAGAGACATTTTTTTATGTTTTACAGTTTTTAATAAATGTTTCAAATTTAACAAAAAAATGTGTTTCTGTGAATTTAAAATGAAAACATTGAACACTTCACAACAGAGTCATGGAAAAAGCACATTACTTACTAGTTGATCATGTTCTTCAATTAATTATCATCTATTGGCTTCATAAAAAGGAAAGCTGTGCACATGTAGATATATTAAATTCACAAAGACAAATTAAGTTAGTAAAATTGACTATTTTTAAATATCAGGTAATTTCAGGTAACTGACTAAATTATAACCTTTATCATATAAATGAAAATGACTAATAACTTACATGTGTAAGAACTCCTTTAAATAATTATGATAATAATAATATTAATTATTATTATTATTATTATTATTATTAGGTTTTAGCAGCACTTGTTATCCATCACAAACAAAAATAATTTCATATGTTAATTAAGTTAAGTGGGGCTGCGCAGTGGTGCAGTGGTTGGAGCTGTTGCCTTGCAGCAAGAAGGTCCTGGGTTCGCTTCCCAGCCTGGGATCTTTCTGCATGGAGTTTGCATGTTCTCCCTGTGTATGCGTGGGTTCTCTCCGGGTACTCCGGCTTCCTCCCAGTCCAAAAACATGACTGTTAGGTTAACTGGTCTGTCTAAATTGTCCTTAGGTGTGAGTGTGTGTGTGTGTGATTGTTTGTCCTGTGTGTCTCTGTGTTGCCCTGCGATGGACTGGCTCTCTGTCCAGGGTGTACCGCGCCTGATTGCCCATTGACTGCTGGAGATAGCAAAAACTCCCCCACCCCCCAACCTCACACACCCCACCCCCCGCGACCCCACAAGGACAAGCGGGTTCAGAAAATGGATGGATGGAATTAGGTTAAATGCATTACTTAGTGCATTATGAAGCATTAATAAACAAACGATCTCTTTATTAACGTTTCTGAAGTTGTTAACTACTAAGTGTCCTTAAGGTTAGGACAAAAGGCCAGAAAGGGGGGTGTCTAATTAGTAATGCAATATGTAATGTTAACATTAATATTACACCGTTGTTAATACTTTATTTTACAGTTTATTAATGATTAATAATGCACTAAGTAACATTAATAAAGAGACACTTTTTGTAAAGTGTTACCAATAGCCTACATCAGTTCAATTATAGCTGCAAAATAACAGTGAATCCTGCAAGACTCAGTAAAATAATTACCTGCAGGTTTATTGTAATAAACTCAATAACATCCACTGTTAAAACCTGTCGTTTTTTGCCCTTTTCCTGACTGATAACTGTTAAGATAGATTTCTGACTAATCAGTATAAATGCAAAGTGTTAAAATTTATTTTATTTTTTATATTTAAGTTGTAAAGAAAAAGCTGCATATTTTTGTGGTTTAAAGTGCTGCCAATCATTAACCTGCACAATCTTGTCCAAGCTCAGCCCAAATGTATCATTTCCAGAAGTTCGAACAACGTGACTACTCACGACGTTGAGCAACAGCGTCTGATCTAGGGTCAAGGTATCGCGGACGGGTTCTGTATCATTCAGCTCCACCGCTGCTCACGGGTCTGTTTGTCTCAAAAAACACTTTCTGAACACAGAGGTAAGCTGAACAATTATTTAATAAGTAAATCTAATTATTTTCTACCAAAACGCAATTTTCATTACATTTTTTTTACCGTTTTGTGACTAATAATATTATTATTTCATCTCTGAAGGCCTAATAATTTGATACTCACATTAACATATAAAGAAAAGTGTGATTATATGTTCCAGTGTGTAATAACATTCATGTTACCAGTGTGATATTTGCATTTTTACACTTTTTATTGATCGGTTAAAACAGTTTGGATAAAATTTAAAACACTAAAGAAATGTTTTTGTTTTGTTTTTTAAAGAAAAAGGGATCAATTTTCATCTCATCAGACCTGATTTGTTATTTAAACTTCATGAAAATCCGTACAGGACTATTTAAGGTGTGTCTGTAGCGACACAAAAACTGATGATATTTTTATATTCCTGGAACCGACTTGCAATGAAATAAATAAGATTTGGTTATAAGATTCATTAAAAGAAAAACATGCAACAGGCAACATTTGTTCTAGTTGTTATAAAGTAATTTGGTGTAAAAAAAATAAAACAGCAAAAAAAATATGAAAACATTTTCATATAAAGGGGAATGAGGGTAAAATAAAAATGGAACAAAGTAGCAGAAAATCAAAGCACAATATGCCTGGTTTAACAAAAAGGAGTGTTTCTGTAGACTTTGATCCATCATAAACGTTTGCTTTTTCTTCAGAAACCATGGGTGAGTGGGGATTTCTGTCATCTCTGCTGAATAAGGTCCAGTCCCACTCCACCGTTGTGGGAAAAGTCTGGCTCAGTGTGCTGTTTATATTCAGGATCATGGTTCTTGGAGCTGGAGCTGAGAAGGTCTACTTCTACTTTTGAAACGTTTATCCCATTTAGTTCATTTCTGACTTTTTAAGTTATAGGCTCCGATGAAATAGCCCCCTCTAGTGGTTATTTGGAGGTATAGCACCTCCTTTTGTAGTTAAAATGTTTGTCATGATTGAGTTTTTTTAACTTTCATAATAAAACATAATTTGAAATGTTTTTTATACCAACAAGTATGCATAGTTTTAATGCTAAAATGATGTTTGCAGGTTTGGAGCGATGAACAGTCCAAAATGGTTTGTAACACCAAACAGCCTGGTTGTGAGAACGTCTGCTACGACCACGCCTTCCCCATCTCTCACATTCGGTTCTGGGTCCTCCAGATAATCTTCGTCTCCACACCGTCGCTCCTCTACCTCGGCCATGTTATTCACGTCATCCACAAAGAGAAAAAGATGAGAGAATACACGCAAACCCACTCTGGCAGCGAAAACCTCAAAGTGCCCAAGTACTCTGACGAAAAGGGGAAAGTTGCTATTAAAGGCAATCTGCTGAGAAACTACATGACCTCCATCTTTTTCAGAATAATTTTGGAGGTAGCGTTCATCGTGGGGCAGTATTACCTGTACGGGTTCATCATGAACCCACTAATTGTATGCTCCCGGGCCCCGTGCCCCTTCACCGTCGAGTGCTACATGTCTCGCCCGACCGAGAAAACCATCTTCATCATCTTCATGCTGGTGGTGTCCTGCGTCTCTCTTTTGCTGAACGTGGCAGAGATCTTCTACCTGGCGTGTTCTCGGTCCTCCAGGAGGAAATCTAAAAAGGTGCACACGACTGCGATCGCCATTCATCCCCGTTTCACCAGCGACAGCCTGATGAAAAACGAGAAGCTGAGCCTCCACGGCTCCACCACGGCCTAAGAAGCATCATTTAGATCTGTTCTGATACATGTGACGAGTCGTTGAACATGGCGAGTAAAAGAGTGACAAATGGGGTTAGGTTTCCAACGTGCCAAGGCGCACATTTGTACAATTACAGTTGTTTATTTATAATACGTGAAAGTGCTTTTATAATTATGATGTAGTAGTCGCTGATTCTGCGTTGTAAATAATAAACCAGATTAAAACATTTGTGGCTGCCTACGAAGCACACTGTTGAGGACAAAAGTCGTTTTTATGGTTTTATTTCCTACTTTGTGTTTTGTACATGAGACATGATAAAAATGTTTCTCCCAACAGACCTCATCTGGCTTAAAGCCGTTTTGAAATGCAGAAAATTATTTTGTTCTAAAGAAGCATGCAGTAATACTTGTTTTCTCATAATAATAATAATAATAATAATAATAATAATACACTTTACATTTGAAACTAATCTCTAAGGCCTAGTCCACACGTAGCCGTTTTTTTTAAAAAACGAATATCCGTCCCCTCCAAAAACTTGCATCCACACCACCTCGTTTTAAAAAAAAACCTCTGTCCACACGTACCCGGATAAATATGTTGTTAAGGACATGCCAGACCTGTAGGCGGCAGTACTTCTCCCGTTCTTAACCTCGTCCTTCATCTGTGGTCTTCCGCAAGGAGCAGTAATTCCACTTGCAAAAACAAACAAGCAAAAAGCGCTTGGACAATTGATAAAGCGAGCGCAGCTCTGAGGGCTTCCATGCTGTCGGCTAGTGTAAACACAGGTCGCACACGTGATGTCAGCATTTTTTTGTCGCGGAAAGTGACGTTGCGGACCTTAAAATTCCGGTTTTGTCTGTGCACACGCAGACACCCAAAACGGAGAAAATGCAGATCTTCACTTTGGCCGGAGTTTTTAAAAAGATCCGTTTTCGTGTGAAAAAAACTCTGTTTTCGTGTGGATGACAGGCCAAAACGTAGAAAAATATCTACGTTTTGGCAGATCCCCAGCTACGTGTGGACAGGGCCTCAGTGCTACAAAGTTAATTTAACCCGAAAGCTCTGGTAAAAAGATAAGTTTGAAGACCAGATTTAAAAGCACCAATAGCCTGTGGTATCCTCAGATGCCCTGGGAGGGAATTCCAAAGTCTGGGTGCAGCTGAGCAAAAAGCACAATCTCCTATGGTGCGAAGTTTAGTCTTTGGAGTTTTCAAAAGACGTACTGATGCAGAGCGGAGGTTGCGTGTGGACGTCTGTGAAAACAGAAGTTCTTTCAGGTAAATAAAGGGCAACCTTGTAATCATTTCTAGATGAAACAGGGAGCCAGTGAAGAGATTTAAGAATGGGCGTAATATTTATTTATTTATTTATTTAACTTATGTTTTTTCAGGAGGATAAACTGCTTGAGATGTAACATCTCGTTTTCGAGTAGGTCCTCCTACAACACAACCAATAACAAATAAAGTGGCAGAGTTAGAAAGTAATAACAGACTTTAACGGAAAAAAAATATGGTCATATTTGCGTCCTCTCATCAGGATCCTAGCAGCACAGTTCTGAATATACTGCAGCTTTTGAAGGATTTTTCCGGTAGTCCCAATGAGAAGTGCATTGCAGAAATCCAGCCTGGAGGAGAGAAACGCATGGACCAACGTTTCCGCATCAGCGAACGTTAGTGCTGGATGCAGTTTTGCTATATTCCTGAGGTGGAAAAAAGACGTCTTACACAGATGCTTGACATGGGCCTCATACGTCAAACTTGAGCCATTTTAACACCAAGGTTTATAACAGATGTTGACAGTGGGATATCCTGATCAGAAAAGGTAATACAGTTGATGTTAGATGACCTAACCTGGTGTGCGGTGCCTACTAAAACAGCTTCAGTCTTAGAGCTGTTTAGCTGACAGGAAATTTTGCTTCATCCATGACTCTATCTCCTCCAAACAGATGGTCAAAGTGGATGATGGCGGAGTAGACGAGGAGGTGGATTATAATGGAACATAAAGTAATATGACCTTTAGTTGTAGTTGTACTTTTCAAACAAATATTTTGTATTCTACCACGGCTACATGTTCCTTGTTTTAAACTACATAAAGTCAATAAATACCAGCAGCTTATCACTACTCTTCTTGTTTTTTTATACCTCTGTGATTTAACCTCAGGGAAGCAGTGGCTACAATCATCGGCAGTATGTGGATGTGTGCACGGGTGAACACCTTGGGGGGTTCTAGAAGGTGCTTTATTAATACAGACCGTTTCCCATGTTTAAACGTTGTATTTGTAAGCTAAAAAGTATCAAGAATATTTGAGGATCTACAAAGAAATGAATTTTCATACAAAACATCAAACTATGGGGTGGCTATAGCTTTAAACCAAGACCATACTATGTTTTTTGGCCATCGCTCAGAAATGTGGCACATTGTACGGCGCAAAATTTCAGTGAGCCAGACTACACGGCGTCTTGCTCTTTGGGGGAAGAATGGTTAACTGTCAACTCTAAAGCTCTTAGTTCGATCCCATCTTCAACAGTCACACATAACCTGTCAGTAATTCCTTGACAAACTTATACCTAATCTTAATGCCATGCTGCTTGCCAAAAAAGTAAAAGTAAAAAAGGTTAAAAGGCAAATTATGAGTTCCTGAGAAAGCGGTTGGAACAAGCTACTTTTTGAATATACACAATTCGATGGTCCAACCCCCTTTCCCCCCAAGCTGCATGTCCAGAAAACAGGAACGTGCAATGCTTGTTCACATGATTTACATTTTGTGATTTCAACCTGTTGTCGGCACCTACAAAACCGTGTAATAATTTAGTATGCTAGCTTATAAGGTATGATGTTTTAATGATGAAAAACAAGGCCGTTTTTTTTTTGTTTTGTTTTCTTGGTTCATTCTTAAATCCAGAGCCTCCTCACACTTGTTTTGTCCTTTCTGCTAGCTTGTGGCGGCAAACACACAGCAAGTATGCGCATGCGATGCACAGATTGAAGAGAGAACAGGTTGCAGTTAACAGACAACAGGTCAAAACTTCCAGAAGCTCCCCGAACCAAACCTTCTCCCACTCGCTTTGCTTTGCTTTCTCCTCTCAGTTGCTATCTCAGAAGCTGACAGAGTTGAGAGTGAACTGCGTTCACAGACAAGTTCATCACTTTAACATTTCCCAACATGTTACACAACTCCTACGATGAAATTTGCAACCAGAACGAAACATTGTGTCCGTTACACTATGCAGCCCAGCTCTGGCTTTACTTTCTGTTTATGTTTATGTTTATGTATTTAGCAGATGCTTTTGTCCAAAGCGACTTACAAGTGATAATCGGCATGTTGCCCTTGAGGCTAACAACAACAATAACAACAACTTGACATCAATCATGGAGAGGAGGGAACAAGGAGTGGACAGTAGAGAGAGGGGGGGACGGGTGCAGGGAGGGTGCTAGTTAAGAAGATGCTCTCTGAAGAGAAGGGTCTTCAGGAGTTTCTTGAAAATTGAAAAGGAAGCCCCTGTTCTGGCAGTGCCTGGAAGGTCATTCCACATTTGTGGAATGATGCATGAGAAGAGTCTGGATTGTCCTGAGCGTGTTGTAGGCACTGCTAGCCGACGATCCTGTGATGACCGGAGCAGCCGGGCCGAGACGTTAGCCTCTGCAAGAGGATTCAGGTAGATGGGAGCCGTACCATCTCGGACTTTGTATGCTAGTGTTAGCAATTTGAATTTGTTGCGTGCTGCTAGCGGTAGCCAGTGGGGCTCAATGAACAGAGGGGTAACGTGTGCTCTTTTTGGCTGATTGAAGACCAGACGCACCGCTGCGTTCTGGACCATTTGAAGAGGTCTTACAGTGCAGGCTGGAAGACCAGTTAGAAGGGCATTGCAGTAATCGAGGCGGGAGATGACAGTAGATTGCACCAGGAGCTGGGTGGCATGTTGCGTTAGGTATGGTCTGATCTTTCGTATGCTATACAGCGCAAAGCAGCATGAACGAGTAACAGAGGCAACATGATCTTTAAAGGTCAGCTGTTCATCAATCACAACACCCAGATTTCGAACTGCCTTTGAAGGAGCCAGAGACAGGAAGTAATTTTGGATTGAGATATTGTGCTGTATGGATGGTTTTGCTGGGATGACAAGTAGTTCAGTTTTAGAGAGGTTGAGTTGGAGATGGTGGGATTTCATCCATTTTGATATGTCAGAGAGACATTTTCATATTCATGCAGAGACAGTGTGGTCGTCCGGTGGAAATGACAGATAGAGCTGGGTGTCGTCTGCATAGCAGTGGTAGGAGAAGCCATGTGATCGAATGATCTCACCCAGTGAGGTGGTGTATATGGCAAAGAGAAGAGGTCCTAGTACTGAGCCCTGGGGGACTCCTGTGGCAAGATGGTGCACGGTAGAGGATTGTCCAAGCCAAGATACACTGAATGATCATCCTGTGAGGTATGATTCAAACCAGGCGTGTGCTTTCTCTGTGATGCCCATGGTAGAGAGTGTGGACAAAAGGAAGCCATGGTTGACAGTTTCAAATGCTGCCGATAAGTCGAGCAGAATAAGCACTCAATCAATCAACTTTTATTTATTTAGCACTTTATCCTACAATACATGCAACTCAAAGTGCTTAACAAATTAAAAAGGCCCCGCATACCCACATTCCCTCCCATCCCCAGAATTTTAAAAACAGTCTGACAATAAAACCCCTTCACAACACTCATCCTCCGGCACACACGTGCGCACACACACACACACACAAATACATGCACTGAGGATTTGGCAGTCACTCTAGCTTCTTTTAAGGATTCCGTCACTGCCAACAGAGCAGTTTCAGTGGAGTGGCCCTTTTTGAACCCAGATTGGTAAGAACTGCTCCAAGCCGAGAACGTGTGATTTGTGCGCAAATAGGGGTATGTGCAGAGGGGGAAGCGACAGTCAGAAGGCAGTTTGATGTGTGGGTTAAGATCCAGTTATTAAGAATGGGAACTTCTTAATGATTGGTTCAGGTTTTCCAGGACTGTACATGCAAAATTCAATAAAACATTTAATTAATTGGTTGTAATTGGTATGTGAAAAATGCTCCAGAAAAGTATTTCACACTGCACCTTTAAATAAAAAAAATGACAGAGGAACAATTACTGGGTTATTTTTTAATCAAAACTAAAGGTTCTTGAGGCCAACTCCTTAACATGCAAAAGTTTAATATAAACTGCTGTAAACCTATTAATCTGTGTAACCCTTGTTAACTTGTTTTAAGCCTTGCTGCTGCCTATCTTGACCAAGTCTTTCTTAAAAAGTAGGTTTTAAATCTCAATGGCATCTTCTTGAGCAAATAAATGCGCAACAAAAGAACAATCTGACTTGTAGTGGTGATAAAAGAACACTAGATGGTGCCATTTACACAGAAACCGGATTTTTTTGTCCACTTCCGCCCTAGGGTTAACCCAGCTTCCGGTTCCTCACAAGACAACAAACACAGCTGGCATCAGTTAAAAATGGCCGTCGTAACCGTGGCGGGGCTAGATCCCCACAGAATGGAAGAAAAGAAGTTCGAGTATTTTTCCTCCATCAACTCCATGGCCAAGAAGATAATGCAGGAGCGGGAGAAAATCAAATCGGATTACGGCTCTTCGTGGGAGACAATGACGCCGGAAGAACAAGACAATGCCATCGACAACAGCATGATGGATCCGCAAGTCCGAGCCCGATACGCTATGCATAAAGTTGACCGAGAGGAAGTGGTCTGTTACCCTAAACTGCTCATTCAAACCGGTCAGAAGATAGTTCATTTTGGTGAAGAGGTACTTAAACAAATGGATTTAAGCTAATATTTTCATGACATGATTGCTAGCAGTTGCTAACAGTAGCTGCGTAGCCAAAACACGTAGAAGCGTCTTCTATCAAATATAAGTAAATAGACGAAAACATCCCTCGATTTTTCACAAAATGTGATCTTGATCTGATCAAGAAGTCAGAACTTTGTTTGGTCAATTGGCAAAACGTATTTGTAATTAGTTAATGTCCACATTTCTCATAATATTAAGGCTGTATAACAGTTAATAGCAAAATACCCCGCATATTGGCCAACTTGTCATTGAGAATAATTGCTGATAGTAAATAAATAAACACGGTTTACATCTAAATGGAACAACTATTACCCGATGGAGGATTTCATGTGGCCAAGTTTTCTCTTGTGTGTTTATTCAATGTATCAATGTTTTGCTGTCACGTATGAATCTTTCATGGGTCGTTTAGAAGCAAAAACAAGCCCATTTCTCTAGGAAATGTCAGGTAAAGACTGGACCCAATAAAAAATTGATCTTTTTTAGTTTACGTTCAAAGAACTCTTGTTTTGTAGCTCTGACTCTTTAAACCTAAACAAACATCTTTAATATTTGTGTTTTTAGGACATTACGTGGCAAGACGAGCATTCTGCCCCTTTCTCGTGGGAGACCAAGGTAAAAACGGATTAGTCGTTAGTCTTAATAACTTGAACCACACATGTAATAAAGATGACTGATGGTTGTCGTGTACTGGTTTGTCTTTCAGAGTCAGCTGGAGTTCAGCTTGGCCTCAGGCTCTACAGATCAGGGGATCTCAGCTTCACAGACTGAAACAAAAGCTTCAAAGGTTCCTCATTCCACTCAGCTTGGCAAGACTACTCCAGGAACCAAGGTGATCAGCTAGAGCAGTTTAGGACCATGGACATGTTCACTGTGTTCAAACACAATTTATTGGAATGTAATAAAGAATTACAAATTGCCACTTCCTGTCAGAATAGTTTCCTGTGTGAAAAATCCTGCACTCATTTTATGACCACAGTTGTTGATTAGGCTTGTGTAATGTGCCTGTGAAGGGGTCTGTGAGTGAGGGACGAAGGCCTGATGAGGAGTCGTCCTTCTGGAAGATCAGCGCCGAGAGGTCCAGACTGGAAGGTGAGAAAGCCGACTTCCAGTCCCTGACCCCCAGTCAGATCAAATCTCTGGAGAAAGGAGAGAAGCCCCTCCCCTCCTACCTCAAACAGGTAAGCACCAATGTGGAGTTTCAGTAGAGCTGCATCTTTGTCATATCATGTCGTATTCAGTCTGTTACATTAAAAATGTCGCTGAAATCCATCTTCAGGACAGTTCCAATGAGCCTGAGACAGCAGAGTCCCTCCCTCCAGCTCCTGTAAAGTCCATCAAGTCGAGAGCACCCAAACCTCCTGCCCCACAGCCTCCTGTCTCCACCTCCGTTAGCGCCACACCTGCATCTATCTCCATCGCTCCCACTCCAGTCCCACCCATCAGCGTTTCCTCTACAGTAGCAGGCTGGGAGAGATCTCAGAGCACTCTGCCATCAGTCAGCAACACGCTGGATGACGTGTTCTCTCCCAGTCTGATGTCTAAGCCTTCTCACCAAACCACGACTGTGGAGAGAGAGAGGGAGGGAGATCAGAGCGACATCAGCCCCACCTTTCCCCAGGCGAGTTTTGAAACTGAATGTTCCTTAAAATGACTTAATGATCTATAATATTTTAAAACAATCAAATTCCAGTCGTTCCCTCACAAAGTAAGCACATTTCTGGTTATTGTTCGATATCCGTCCGCTTTGTTATCACGTTTCTTCCTCTCATTACAGTTCAACCCCAACGGCAGCTTGCTGAAGACTGGATTTGACTTCTTAGACAACTGGTAAACCACAGCGCTGACTGGCCACCGCACAGATTGTGTGAACCTAACCATCACTTTAAAGAAGGACCATGTTGCCATGACTACCGACATCCACATCTAAACCGAACAGATGCTATGCTTAGAAACGATCACATTATTTTCTCATCATTGTCGGCAGCTTGTTAAAGACATTATCTCACCATCTGTGTGCCGGTATTTTATTTCCCCTCAGACTAAAGGAACCTCTCTCTCCTTCCAGACTTGTATTTGTTATTATCGTTAGATCGTTGCTTGAAGTTTGTCTGCATTCTCGCGTAGCTCCTAGACACTACAGGCATGTCAACATGTAATCCAAAGCTGTTTTACTCTCTTAAGTTTTATTATTATTATTATTGTTTAAGGTGTTTTTTTTTCTCCTTTGTGCTTTTGTTTATCTGTATATGAGGTTTTTGAGTTAGTTCTGCATTCCAAAGTACCATTTTGTGTAATTCTGATAGTTTATTGGGATTTAGGACAACATTAGAACAAGGAACATCATGAAATTTGATCATTACATTCAGCTGAATTTGTTCTAAATGTAGTACTTTGATTCCAGTAATAAGTAAACTGATGTTGGGATTAAAAAAAATAAAGACAGGTGGAAAAAACTGATGTTTGATAATAGAATAAACACCCAGTTCTCTTGTGTGGAGCTTTAAGAATAAACACATTTACACATTTCCTTCTGGGATAAAGGATTGTGTTGAAGTCACAACTAGTTTTGTATCCTATGATTGTATCTTATGCTTTGTGTCTACTGCATTTGAGATTATAGTTTGGAAGTAAATAAATGTAAATAATACATTTGTGTTTTTATTTCCTGAAATTATTCATCATAAACTCAACTCGGTCTTTCTTTGGGTTAGGGTTAGACTTTCAGGCATAAAAATTACACCAAGGTGTTTTACAGACAATAAAAGTAAAACAAAAAGATGATTAAAACCAAATACATTTAAAAACCAGAAGTGACGACCAAATCGTAAAAATTGGTTTTCAGCCTAGCTTTAAAGACCCTCAGAGAAGCGGAAGCCCTTATGGACAACGGATGCTCAAGTTTCAAACTTGCCACCATCAGTTACAAGCAAAATGTCGTTTTTGTAAATCACACATTCTTTTCTAAGTTTGAGTTAAGTTGGTGTGAGTCTGAGTTTACAAACAGGCCAGTCAGCTTTATTTAAAAACCAATTCCTCCAGCTTTAAGTTTCAGAGGAAAGAAGAGAAAAACCTCAGAACCAGCAGACCTGAATCTACCTTCTCCTTTGGGTCACAATCTGCTGCTCTGCTAAGTGTATTTATAGAAATAAGAGCAAGTCTATGCTTCATGCATTATGTAAGCCTGTAACAGTGAGCATCGGGTGGATGGACGCATAATTAAAAACTCTTTCAAAGGAATTCATTCATTAGATGAGGAAACAAATCAGACCCTGAACTTGTGTAAATGTCAAACCTGTAGCTGTGGATGGTTTTAGATTAAATCACATCACTGAAATACTTAGTAACAGTTACTCAAATTAAAGGACTAACAAACACAGTATGAGGGATTTTTAACTGTTTAAACCAGATCAGGGTTTTCCTGGTTGTTTCAGAATTGCAGTAAAGGTTTGATAATCCACCTAAGCCGTCAGCGGTTTGCTCCTCATACAGGCTTTTCTTTTTGTGTGTTTTTGTCTCATTTTCTGCTGTCATTTATTTTAAGTGTCTCTTTAGGAAAAACTGTTTATCAGATGGGTATTCTTAATGTTAAAGAGCAAGTCACCCCCTACCAGAGTATTACTCCACTTCCACTTCCTGTTTGAAAAATGCAACTAATGCTGTTGCCTAGCAGACCGAGAGGGCAGAGCCGCTAACAAATACACACACACACAGGCTCACAACAACATTGTGACATCATATGGTACCAGCTAACGTTCTAGGGTACCTCTTAGCCAATAGCGATGGCAGATTTAAATTCAAATGCAGTGCGGAGTTTTTACCTGACAACGGCACAACACTGACAGTTTTAGGCAGAAAATTAAAATTTGAACTAAAATCCACTAAAGTGCAAAACTATTGACTACACGTGTCTGCAGCACAATTAGACATGCATTCATATAGTTTATCAGAAAAAAGTAGATTTGGGGGTGACTTGCTCTTTAAATCATAACACCTCCATTTCTCAGCACCTTAAATAAAACCATGCAATAAAAAGAGACGGACAATCGACATTCCTCCACAAAAAGGCCTTAATAGTTCCTGTAAGTCCAGCGTGCAAACACCCTGTTTGGGAACCTGATCTAAAACTGAAGATGTATAGGGGTTATTCCAATTATAAATATTATATTTTATTGCTTGTGAAGCCTTGGGTCTATAACATCTCTCACAGGGAGAAACTAGAAGTGGATTAACTGGGATTATAATATAAAATCATGTTTTTCTTTTAGAACTTGTGGTGATATTGCCATCTCCTGGTCATGATGAGAAGAAGCACTTGATGAAACCGATTTAGTTAAAAAGATGAAATCCTATCAATTTATAAATAAAAACTAACCCTTAAACTTGGACTGCATGGTGCTGCATTTAGTAGTAATGTTGCCTTGCCGGTAGAAAGTTGCAGGTTCCAATCCCGGCGGCTACAGATGTTCAGCGAGGAGCTAGCATGTTCTTCTCATGCGTGTGTGGATTTCCTCTAAATGCTCCAGTTTTCTTCCACTGACAAACATTTTCACTCCTCTAGAATCTAGTGTTTAACTAGAACAACGGTGGGACTTGAGATAAATGGGAGTCAGAAAATTGACATGTGCACACATTTATTAGGTATTTTACATTTGTGTTGTATCCTCCCCTGTTGAACTGACACACTTCTCCACTCACCTTGCTGGAAAACAGCCCAAGGCTAAGAAACCTCAGATGTCTGCTTCGTGTTCAGAAAAAATCTTTTTTTGAGCCAAATAAACAACTGAAAGAAAATAATTTGCTGCCTGGTATAAGCCAAAATAGAAACAGGCCTGTTACCGTACAACAGTCCTACTTTAGGTCTAGTGTGATAATGAGACTGCCAGCTTAGCAGACACGGCACCTTATTATGCTAAAAATATAATCAAGTTTTCCTCATTGAGTACAAATATGCGATCGGACAAATGCTGAGTTCCAGTTTCAAGGACTCTCCACAATCATTAGCCTGGCCTGGCAGACTCGTCCTCTTTAATTCTGCACCGATGCTTCCCGTAAGGAAGCATGGGGCTGACTGGCCAGGCTACACAACTGTATGAAATTGTAGAGCTGCCACCCACATATAATAAAATTAGAGCGATATCATGTTATAACATGATTATTTTATTGTAATAACATCATTTTCACATTCTTACAATAAACATTTTTATAGCGTTTGTACAATACTGTTATATTGTTTTTACAATAAATATATTACAAGCGTGACACATATGTATATAGTTAGAACATTATATATGGACAGCAGTAGCTCAGGAGGTTGAACGGGTTATCCAGTGATCGGAAGGTTGCGGGTTTGATCCCAGCTCCGACCAAGGAATTCTGATGTTGTGTCCTTGGGTAAGACACTTAACCCGCCTTGCCTACTGGGGGTGGTCAGAGGAACCAGTGGCGCCAGTGCTTGGCAGCCTCGCCTCTGTCAATGTGCCCCAGGGCAGCTCAACAGCATGTGAATGTGTGTGTGAATGGGTGTTGTGAAGCGCATTGGGGGGTTGTAGAACCCCAAGAAGGCGCTTTACATATACAGGCCATTTGCCATTTGTTCAAACGTGAAAATTATATTGTAAGAATATAATAGAGGAGCCAGTTGAGGAGGCTCGGGTATCTGGTCAGGATGCCTCCCTGGTGAGGTTTTCTGGGCACATCCAACTGGGAAGAGGCCTAAAGGGAGACACAGGACATGGTGGAGGGACTATGTCTCTCACCTGGCCAGGGAACACCTTGGGATTCCCCTGGAAGAGCTGGCCCAAGTGGCTGGGGAGAGGGAAGTCAGGGCCTCTCGATTTAGGCTGCTGCCTCCGCGACCCGACTCCGGATAAGTGGAAGAAAATGGGTGGATGGATGGAATATATCACAATGTGAAAATTACATAGTCAAAACATGAAATCGCTCTAATTTTATTATGCGTGGGTGGCTGTATGTTTCTGTAAAATTAAGAAATAAATGAATAAAGACGGAACGAAAAATGTAACTAAATAAAATAATGATTGAATTAACTACTTGCAGACCCCGCCCCCTCCCTCCCTCTCTGCTGTGCTTCAGCTACAAAGCTCCGCCCTGTTACCAAAGGAACCACTGTTTCCTCTGTAGCTTTTAGACTTGACAATATTTATGCATACGCTGTGTTTAGGCTGCTTTAATGCTTTATTGTGTTCCTGCAAACTGTTGACCAAAACGCCTTTAGGGTGTAGTATCGATTTTTTCAAACCCTTGAAATTGTAATTTCATAAAAGCATTCAAGTCAAACAAGAATTTTTGGTGGACACGTTTTATTTTTCCAGCATAGATTTAAACCGTGGTCTGGAAAAGTTTCTGGAATTTATGACATTAGTCAAACAGCTGTGTGTTTCAGACGGCCAGCAGACTCAACCACATCTGACCCCACAAGTCCCAGCCGCTGCTGGCGCTCCTCCCCGTCTCCACATCCCTGAGCTCTGCCTCTGTTGCTTCTTTGGAAATTCTTTTGGATCCTTGAGGCATTTTAATGGGCATGCCTCCTGCTACAGCCTCAAACACACACACACACACGCACGCACACATGCACGCACGCACACACACACTCAAACATTCATGCAGGATCTTACATAACCTCTCTTTTCTTTTCTTGTCATCATTTCCTGAACAGAAGCATAACCCACACTTCTGTTCCACTCATTTATTTAATTGTGAGGACAGATTTGCACACAGGCTTGATACATGTTAAATTAATAAAAGGCTTCTGTGTGTGTGTGTGCGTGTGTGTGTGTGTGTGTGTGTGTGTGTGTGTGTGTGTGTGTGTGTGTGTGTGTAGCTGAGTTAATGACCACAGAATACATGAGCATGCATTTGGGAGTGCTGAAGCCTGAAGTAACCCAGTCAACATAAGTTTATTGTGGGATGATGAATCTGTAGTTTGATCGTTTTCCACTTTGAATTTTCCATTCAGTTAATGTATTCATTATTAAAGAGCAAGCCACCCCCTACCAGAGTATTACTCCACTCCCACTTCCTGTTTGAAAAATGCAACAAATGCTGTTGCCTAGCAGACTGAGAGGGCGGAGCCACTAACAGATACACACACACACACACACACACACACACACAGGCTCACAACAACATTGAGACATCATATGGTACCAGCTAACATTCTAGGGTACCTCTTAGCCAATAGCGATGGCAGATTTAAATTCAACTGCAGTGCAGAGTTTTTAACTGACAACGGCACAACACTGACAGTTTTAGGCAGAAAATTTAAATTTTAACTAAAATGCACGTGTCTGCAGCACGATTAGACACGCATTTATATAGTTTATCAGAAAAGAAATGTTGATTTGGGGATGACTTGCTCTTTAAATCAAAGGAGGAGTGAAAAAATGCTCTGTATTTTTAAAAAGCCTACATAATCCCTCATGATCATGAGCTTAAAGTGTCTAAAGTTCTGTTCACTTGTTCATCTCTGACCTAGAAATATGGATGTCATGCCAATGAGATGTTTGTGTTAACGTCTGCATACAATACACTGGAAACTATCTGGACATTACCATGCCAAATCCTCAGAACTAAATTAATTCCACGAGTAAAATAAGTTCTTATGCAAGTCTATATTTTGGTGCAGACTGCAGACAGAAAACAGGTGAAAATGTACTTCAGGAAATCTGTATCCTTGGCACACACTTAGTGCACTAAATGGCTTTGTTTTCTAACTCGACTGTGTGCAACTTAACTTTCCTGGGAGATTTTTGAAAACATTTTTCAAAGTTGAACAAAATGCCTCCATGAAGTTGGGGCAAGAGCTTTTTTCTAAACCACCAAGTGGTTTTGTGGGGACACTGATGTACGTAATTCTGTTGCAGCTTTCTTGATAAAGCAAAGAAAAATGAATAAGATATTGATACAAATGTATTCATAAATGTTTGAGAATGTATGTCTAGCTTCTGGATATCTGACAGGTCTTTGGTGATGTTAGTCTTTTAAAAGCATATGCCCCCTTAGGGTAAAGCCCATAAAAGCCCCCCAAAATTAGCAGGGGATTGTTCTTCCTTTGTAGACAGTTTTTACTTTGGAAACTTGTAGTTTCCACCGGACAGACACCCGTGTGAATCCACACCACCCTCACAAAGCGTGGAAGTGGGAGGTGGAAGCACAAACAAAGAGCTTTCCTGTTTCCAACACAGAAAGGGGACCTGAAGACATAGCAGAGACAGCAGGGATGTTGTTTTGGTTTTTGCTGTTTGATACCTGGCTTCTCTCTCCTTTTCCCCTCGAGGCGTGCATGTGTGTGTGTGTACCCTCCCATTCACATATCTAATAAGAGAGATTCCTGCTGCACATCCAGGAGGGAAAGAGGAGTGAGGAGCGGAGTGCAGTGCGACTCAGAGGTGGACAGAGTTTCAGCTGCTGAAGGAGCATTAGCGTTACTGAAAGCGAAAAATGGGACCGGCTGCCACCTCACACACACTCTTGTGTTTATGTTTCATGTCAGTCTGTGTTCCTACAGGGACGATTGATGCTGCACCGACACAGGTCAGAACGTTTTGTACAGCATGCTCGGTCATTTTTAGCCTCTTACTGTAAGTCATGAAGTCTCGTACCTGTGACAGACATGGTAATGAAGTGCTGCCATTTAATGATGGCGTGTCTGGGAAAGCCGGTTTTTCTGTCTATAAACTCAGACTGTGTGTCTGAGACTTAAAAAAACTATTCAGTCTCAATAAGCTAATGAGTAATTCAAAAATCTGCAAAAAATAAAGTCGTACACAAAGCAGATATTCAGTTGGACTTTTAGTTGATACTTTTTTTCATGAACACGTTATATGATGGTGATTGGATTCCATCTGGAGCTTTCTTCATGCTTCTGGCCTTTGATGATCCTCGTGTTTATAACATAACTTCCTGGATTTTGATTACAATCCTACATTTAGCTCTATTGACTCAGATCCATTGGCCAACCAGTCTTGAGCAAGATAGAAATGATGACATCATGGATATCTTTATGTGAGTGTGAATGTGTTTGTGTTCATCAGGAGCTAGAGGTGAAGAAGCCAAGAGGAGATGTTCCTGATACTCTTCCAGAACCTGAATCAGAGCCAACCACTCAAATATCAGACTTTGAAAACTCTTACAACTACGTCTGTAAGTGGTTTCGGTTTTCACACTGATGCAACATTAGTCAATTGCGTCTACTCCTTAAGCTGTTATTCACAATTTATTTTTTTTTAAAACCTGCTGTGGTTTCTGGAATGAAGGAGTCTTGTTAGTGGATTTCTTTGGAAAAAAGCTCTGGCGCTTCTGTTTCAGGGGTAGAGGTTTGTTGGAAGAGTGACAGGGCCAGAAAACGACAGGATTAGTTTTACTCATTAATATTCAGAATATGCTAATGTCTTACATCTGCTTAGCTAACTCTTCCGCTGCCTTCGTTAACAAAACTCAGAATACTGTAAAACACATTTTTTGGGTAAAACACTGATGTGCTATCTCAGGAAATAACAAGTCCTTACATGTTCCTCCATGTTGTGGAGTTGCTAATGCTTCATGCTAGCTGAAACACACTATGCTAAGTCATTCCCGTGGGCAGTTGCAGACCAAAGTGGGTGGGGCCACAAATGCTAATTTTCTCTGTGACATAGAAGAGACAGGATTTTCTCACCCGATCATTTACCATCCTTTTCCTTTCTGCAGCTAATGCAGGCGACAGCGGTTGGATAAAAAGTTCTCGTTCAGCATGCATTTGAAAATCAAAGTGACCATTCTTATTTAAAAAAATAACAAGTATTACATTGTTACTCCTTGAACGAGACCTTTAAAGAAGCAAAGCTATCTTTTTATCACCTACCTTCAAAAGTGGACCATAACGTTTTTGCCTGGGACTAAGTGTGGATTTATGAAACCTTTAGAAAGTAATAATCAGATGTCTGTCTACAAATAGGTACGTTTTGATGTCAATCCCATTCCAGATACTCCTCACAGCTAATCAACCTTAGCTAAAGGTAAAATGGATAGAATTCAAATTATGTTACAGATATTGTAATAAAACAGGCTGTGCAGTGGTGCAGTGGTTAGAGCTGTTGCCTTGCAGCTAGCAGGTCCTGGGTTCGCTTCCCAACCAGGGATCTTTCTGCATGGAGTTTGCATGTTCTCCCTGTGCATGCGTGGGTTCTCTCCGGCTTCCTCCCACAGTCCAAAAACGTGTGTGTGTGTGTGTGTGTGTGTGTGTGTGTGTGTGTGTGTGTGTGTGTGTGTGTGTGTGTGTGTGTGTGTGTGTGTGTGTGTGTGTGTGTGTGTGTGTGTGTGTGTGTGTGTGTGTGTGTGTGTGTGTGTGTGTGTGTGTGTGTGTGTGTGTGTGTGTGTGTGTGTGTGTGTGTTTCCCAACCAGGGATCTTTCTGCATGGAGTTTGCATGTTCTCCCTGTGCATGCGTGGGTTCTCTACGGGTACTCCGGCTTCCTCCCACAGTCCAAAAACGTGTGTGTGTGTGTGTGTGTGTGTGTGTGTGTGTGTCCTGTGTTGCCCTGCGATGGACTGGCACTCTGTTCAGGGTGTACCCCGCCTGAATGCCCATTGACCGCTGGAGATAGGCACCCCCCGTGACCCTACATGGACAAGCGGGTTCAGACAATGGATGGATGGATATTGTAATAAAACGTTGTGTCTAAGTCGCTGAAGGCCATCCCAACACATTCAAGTACTTTAAGGCTTTGCCAATAACTGTCATCAAAAAGTCCGCTGGGTGGATTTCTAACGAAACTGGCATCGAGTAACAACTGGATTTAGGTTCAACTTTTGGAGTAAACCCAATTCAAGATGGCTGCTGCAGCAAATCAACCTTAGCATACACTAAAATAGCTTTAACTTGGTTGGTTTTACACTAATTGAGTTAAAGTTTGGTAAAAGGGCGTATAATCAGCATACTGTAAGAAGGTGGGTGCATTCCTTAAAGAATTATAGTCCTTTTATTTTATTATTTTATGCAACACGTCTGCATTTTCATGTTATATTTCTGTCCTTCTTTGGTGCACTCTTATATTTTCTGCACTTCTTTGTTCTTCAGTGTCACGACTAGCTGGTATGGATCAGGCCATCCACAAGCTGAACGTTGGTCATTACACTCTGGATGTTAAAGTCAGCCAGCTGATCGACCGCATCTCTAGGTTGGACGGTAAAACTGTTCGCTTTCTCCTTCTAATCTACTGAATAAAAATTTAATTGTCATTGGATATCTTTTGTCATGTGTTTTCACTTAACCCTCCCACTGTCTTCATGGGTGACCCCGCGAGGAAAGTTGACCATTGAGAAGGATTGATGGTTTATCCCGTGAGGTCCACGTGGCAGGGTAGGGATAAACCATCAATCCTTCTCAATGGTCAACTTTCCTCGCGGGGTCACCCATGAAGACAGTGGGAGGGTTATGTGACAAAGGGAAAGAGATTCTGTGTGTCTTACAAACATATTTGTTTCTTGTTGCTAACATGCCAGCTAAAGTTGGGGAGCTGGAGGATAAAATCCATGAGGTCTACCAACACAGTAAGGACAATCGAAAGGAGACTGGACGACTGGAAGGTATGACGATTCTTTTCCATATTTTCTACAGGTATTTCCTATCTTGCAGGTCAAATTGCTGTGTAAATACCGGACTTTGATGGCCAAAGTATAAAAAAGAACACTTGAAAAGAAGCAGGCTGAAACATTCTAGATGTAAAACAGAAAGCTACCGTAGATCTTTCATCCCCTCCGCTGTAAGAGTATAACTCCTCAGTTGAAGCTGGACTGGCATTATCCTGGTACACAATAACACCAATGCAATACTCAGCATGTGTTCAATACTCGTTCAATACCAGATTTACATAGTATGTCCGCGTTTCCTGCAGTATGCTGCATAGTGTTGTAACCAAAGTTTTTTTCTTTTTTTATTCGTGGTTTTTAGTGGTCGAAGGTTCCAACTCTAGACATAGAGTTAGAGTTAAAGCCTATGTGTACATACATGTACTTTTGTTATTATTTTCCTTCAAATTATTCCCTTAAGTGTTGGTGCTGCTGTAACAAGTGAATTTCCCTACTGAGGGATAAATAACGTCTATTCTATTCTATTATAAAACAACTCCAAAGGTGCAATAAAGGAGAAAAGGTCAAATAAAACACTTGCGGGGATTTAAATAGGGAAAATGTTCAAATTGTCACTGTAAATTTTGGTAATAATCCAGTTTATTAGATCCTGTCATCGATATTTTATCAAGCGACTCAAAGGATGTGAACTGTTTGGTTAAAACCTTGAAAGGGAAAACAGTTAACCTGTTAGCTGAGGCTAAAGCCTGATTCATGCTTCTCCGTCAGCTCCGCAGGGGACAGACACGTGCGGATTGATGGAAGCGTTTTGCCCTCATACGTCTCAGTCTCCTGGAGAACGTTGCAAAGCAATTCCCAACCAGGACAACAGAGGGCGTAGCACTGTTCTGTGGTATCCTGTCATGCATCAGTCCAAGATATTGTGTTTATATTGTGTTTTTTTATATAAGAGACTTTTTAATACAGACAAATTTGTCTCTCATCCTCCTCCACCTCTTCATGCCCTCACCACCTCTAAACCCACGTTTCCTGTCGTTTCCGTCCACAAATAAAACGCTTGCTGCACATCTTTTCACTCCTCCAGTCATGGGGGAATTAAACTTTCATGTTTTTAGAGTTTTTTCACGAGGTATTCTTCAAGCTGTTCCGTGTCTGCCGCTAGTTATCCTCGGCTCTCTTTGTGTTTTTGAGGGCGCAATGGCGGCGGTGTAGACGACAGTGGCGTCCTGACCAATCACAAGCTTGCGTTGTCTGTCTCGAGGGACGGATGTTTAGAAAAGAGAGTTCGACTCCGTCCGTCCTTGTGGAGCTCTCCAGCAGGCCTGCAAGGACTTTGAGTGTCTCCGCGCTGACGCAGATGGAGAAGCATGAATCAGGCTTAGGCTAACAGGGAATCATGCACATGACGCAACATGTAGCCAATAATCTGATCTGTATGGTGTAAATTAAGATGTGCTGGAATGTGTCAGTGACACCCACCCATCCATTTTCATCCGCTTATCCGGAGTCGGGTCGGGGGGCAGTAGCCTAAGGCGAGAGGCCCAGACTTCCCTCTCCCCAGCCACTTGGGCCAGCTCCTCCGGGGGAATCCCAAGGCGTTCCCTGGCCAGGTGAGAGACATAGTCCCTCCACCAGTACTGGTCTGTCCTGGGTCTACCTTTAGGTCTCCTCCCGGTTGGATGTGCCTGGAAAACCTCACCAGGAAGGCGTCCAGGAGGCATCCTGACCAGATCCCCGAGCCACCTCAACTGGCTCCTCTCGATGTGGAGGAGCAGTGAGTCTACTCCGAGCCCCTCCCGAATGACCGAGCTTCTCACCCTATCCCTAAGGGAGAGTCCAGCCACTCTTCGGAGAAAACTCATTTCGGCCGCTTGTATCCGCGATCTCTTTCTTTCGGTCACTACCCAAAGCTCATGACCATAGGTGAGGGTAGGAACGTAGATCGACCGGTAAATCGAGAGCTTCACCTTCTGACTCAGCTCTCTCTTCACCACCACAGACCGGTACAATGCCCTCATCACTGCAGATGCAGCACCAATCCGCCTATCGATCTCACGCTCCAGTTTTCCCTCACTCGTGAACAAGACCCCAAGATACTTAAACTCCTCCACTTGGGGCAGGACCTCATCCCTGACCCGGAGAAGGCATTCTACCCTTTTCCGAATCAAGACCATGTTCTCAGATTTAGAGGAGCTGATTCTCATCCCAGCTGCTTCACACTCGGCTGCAAACTGCTCCAGCGAAAGCTGAAGATCACGTTCTGATGAAGCCAACAGGACAACATCATCTGCAAAAAGCAGAGACCTGATCCTCAGGCCACCAAAACGGATGCCCTCCAGACCTTGGCTGCACCTAGAAATCCTGTCCATAAAGGTTATGAACAGAATTGGTGACAAAGGGCAGCCTTGGCGTATTCCAACTCTCACAGTGACACATCATCTTCAAAGAACTTCACACATAAAATATGGCCTGAAGTTAAAAAAAAAACAAAAAACAAAGATCTATAATTACAGCAGCGCCGTGTTACTGGTTACTATGTAAACAAAAGTTGTTGCTAAGGTAGAAAAACAGAAACAGCTCTGGGTGAAAGATTGCCAAAAAAATCAATCGAGCCCAACTGTAATAGTTGCCCCTGAGCTCTGCGGCGTGCTTTGGCACGTTTCTGCTCAGGGGGGTTAAGAGCTAAAACTCTTTTGATTCAGTTTTTTTATTTTCCATGCTGATAATACCACTGTAATCTACCTTCTCAGGTGTTGTGTGGTAGGAATTCACAAAAACACAGAGGAGAAAGATTATGATCTATGGTTAGAAGTTCAGACTACAGTCTTAATAAGATTTAAGATTACAATTTTTGAAGGAATACATTGAATTAAATGATTAGTTGGAACCATTTTCACTTGAGAATCATATTCCTCATTATGAATGGAAAATTTAAATATATATAATAAATTATTAAAAAAAAATAAAATGCTTTACATCCCATGGAGTGAGCAGGTCAGAGAGACAGGGAGGTGCCAGGTCGTTGAGTGCTTCCCTGGTTGATGCATGGTAAGTCATGATTCCCTTCTGGGATTTTATTTAAACACATGAGCTATGAGTGTAACAACACGTGCCTGTGATTAGTTAAATTATTATAGGATGCTAATTAGTTCCTGGGGTATTTCGCCATTCTGCTGCTGCATTTTGGAAAAGTTTGTGACTGGGAAAATTCATTGTATTTCAGTGGAAAAAAGAGAATAGCCATCTTACCTGTTTGAAAGCTTCCTGAATGGTCTCTGTTCAGAGAAACTGAGTTTACATTACAGATGGCAAACGCTGCCATCTTAAAATGACTCATACCTCTTGAATTTTGTCTCAGTTCATGCTAACATGCTAACAAAGATGGAGCGTGAGATTGATAGGTGGATTGGTGCTGCGTCTGCAGTGATGCGGGCATGGTACTGGTCTGTCGCAGTGAAGAGAGAGCTGAGCCGGAAGGCAAAGCTCTTGATTTACAATTTACCATAGCATAGTTTATTTATATAGCACATTTAAAACGCAGCATGGGAGCTGCCCAAAGTGCTGCACAGGCTAAAACAAAAAACGACCAATTTATGGAACAAAAACAGAAGATAAAAATACCAGTCAAAAGCAGATAAAACATGAGGAATACTAAGAACACATTAAAACAATAACACAATAACACACTAAAACGTGTCAATGTCTAAAAGCCAAATCGTAAAAGTGGGTCTTTAAACGAGATTTAAAAAGACACAAAACATGGTAAAAAGCCTAAGTGAAGAGCTCAGAGCCGCTGCGTCTGTGCGCCGAACTCCATTGGGCAACGAGTTCCACGGCTTTGGGGCAGCATGCGCAAATGGTTGTTCACCCTGCGATTTGTATCGCATCCGGGGCGTGCACAGCAGCAGGTGGTCAGCCGACCTCAACATGCGTGTGGGTACATATGGAGTGAGCAGGTCAGAGAGACAGGGAGGTGCCAGGTCGTTGAGTGCTTCAAATACAAAAGTCAATAACTTAAATTGTACTCTGAAAATGACAGGGAGCCAGTGAAGATGTTCCAGGATAGGGGTAATATGGCTACGTCGGTGCGTTTTTGTCAAGAACCTGGCAGCAGCGTTCTGGACGACCTGCAGCCGATTCAGGGAAGAGACTTTGATCTTCGTTCCAACCTTCACCTATGGCCACAAGCTTTGGGTAGTGACGAGATTGGGGATAGAAGTGGACAAAAGGAGTTTTTTCCGCAGGGTGGCTGGGCTCTCCCTTAGAGATAGGGTGAGAAGCTCAGTTATCTGGGAGGGGCTCGGAGTAGACTTGATGCTCCTTCACATCGAGAGGAGCCAGTTGTGGCGGCTTGAGCATCTGATTAGGATGCCTCCTGGATGCCTCCCTGGTGAGGTTTTCCGGGAAGACCCAGGACACGCTGGCGGGACTATGTCTCTCGGCTTGCCAGGGAACACCTTGGGGTTCCCTCAGAGGAGCTGGCTCAAGCGGCTGGGGAGAGGGAAGTCTGGGCATGCCTGCTTAGGCTGCTGCCCCCGTGACCCAACCGCAGATAAGTGAACGAAAATGAATGGATGGATGGATGGATGGATGTTTGTATGAACTGCCATGAAATTTATGATTTGTTTTTTTACGCACTCAAATAAAATGTTAGTAATAAAACACTGTTTATCAGCTGTAGCTACCCGTTTTCACAGTAGCTTGTTCTTTTTTCATTGACTGCGGTGTAGGCTGCCAGAAAGGACACAGGATGGGCTACAAATGTTACTTGGTGTATAATAGTTTAGAGGACTACGCTGGAGCATCTAGGAAGTGCCTCGAACGCGGAGGACGCATGGCGATGCCCCGCGACCGCAAGGAGCAGGAGGCCTTAGCCGACTACGTGAAGAACTTCTTCCACCCGGGGAACTGGCCTGTCTGGCTCGGCATCAACGACCTGCGCTCCGAGGGCTTGTACCTCTTTGACGACGGCACACGAGTGTCGTACTTCCAGTGGCGTAAACACTTCCTGTCCAGTCAGCCGGACGGAGGAAGGCGGGAGAACTGTGTGGCCATGTCGTCGGACGACGGGGACTGGTGGGACCACTACTGCGACCGGACCATGAACTATATCTGCGAGTTTGATGACAGGGTGGCTCTTTAAAAGAACAGCCATGTTCTGTCCTTCTGTTACAACTTTAAACTGTTGATCTTTAGAAATAAAAACACATTTAATTAAATAATCAAATAATTTATTTTCCGCTAAATGCTCAATAAACCGGCCGGTTGGGTCGAAAGGAAAGTCAGTGTCATAGCAACGTTTTTTAATAAATACAGAACAAACTTAGCAAAAAAAGTCTTCTATTTAAAATGTAAAACTTTGTGTGCTAAATATCCCTTTGTTCCTGTAGCTGTCCTAATCTGGCTGTGAGCTAGTTAAACTCGGCTGGAATTTTATTTATGGAATTCTAATCGTTTAATCAAAGTTTCCAAAAAAGGAAAATAATTGAAAGATGGAGGCACTTTCTTCTGGATCAGCACATACCAGACCCCTCTGAGATATTCGTCAGCATGTTCTCAGGGATTTGTAAGGAATTAAGAAGGGCCTCTTTGTTGCTTACTGCTGCTGAGCGTGACTCGTGTTAAACTACTGATTAACCTACATTTTTTTGCCTTAGATCAACTCTTAAGCGCTTTAGACTTGGCTGAAAAACACTAAAACTGAGTTAGACTATAAAGAAACTTTAGTTTTGTCCTAAAACTCCTAAAAGTTATTAATAGTCAAAACTATTAGTTGGTGGTTTTTTATACCCAGTGAGTTAAATCAGTGTAACCAAGTAAGAAAACTATTTCTCTTTAGAAGATTTTATCTATATTTCTACTTCTATTCCATTTAAAGGTGTCGAACACTTGTTTAATCAATACATTTGCAGTGATCTCTAGTAGGAATGAATGCCTATTAAGTCGTACTCGGGTGGCAAAAACACCGGCGCACCATTTCCAGGAACTAGAAGTGAGCCACATCTCAGCTGAGCTTCAGACGGCAGGTTGTGGAGTCTTATTTCCTGATATCTGGATATCTCATCTCAGACTGGACAATGGTCACGCGATGCAACGTTGGTTTCATCTCCACAAATAACAGAAGCCTGAAGGAGTTCTGCTGTGGGGTGGAGTTGCTAATGCTAACAGTTAGCAAACGGTTCTCTGCTGTTTCCTGGACGTTAAACCAACAGCCTTCCCCGTCGTGAGTAATGAATGTTAAGCGACAGTGTGATGTAGATCTGTCAGGATTTTCTGATCCTAGAGTTTCACCATCTGTTTTCTATCAGAAGCTAAAGCAGGAGGTATGTGTAGGAGACTATTTTCATGTTGAAATGTCATTAAAAACTTGGAGAAATAAGAATTTTAAAATGGTTTTTCAATGTTCCACCCATTTAAAAATCTAAACTAAACCAGAGGAAACGTTTCAAGAAATAAAGAGATTACATTTCTTCTTTTACCCCAAAACAAACCAACATTTAATCTAATTAAATGTTCAGACACATGAATAAAACTCATCTGAGCCAAAATTTGGTTTATTGTTCCAAAAACAGGAAACACATTTTCCGCTGAGCCACCAGATTTTATAAACTCTGGGTTAGGGTTATGAATGAGCTACATTTGCAGATAAGAATCAAAGATTTCAACATGATTTCATATCCAATATTTCTGTTTTAATTATAAATGTGAAATTAGTTTAATTTGGTAGTTAGCTGTAGCTTTGTGTTGATTTGTTTGGCGTAATAAGGGCTACTTTGATTCGCTAAAGTAAAATGCACGTATTTACTTCGTAAACTGCCAGACTGAAACAAACAAAAGAAGCTCAGACATCTTTTCCTCATGTTTCAGCATCGGTCACAGCTCATCGTGACATCACGAGCTTGAGGCATGACGTCATTGACATGAATCAAAGAGCTGCTCTTCTTCTGTGGTATCAGTGCCGTTTCTAAACCACCGGTTCGATCGTTTTCTTTTCACAGCTCTTGGTCCGTGTGTTGGCGCTCGTCTGCAGCAGCCTGCAGGACGTCCATCAAACTGGGCCTGTCCAGAGGGTTTTTAGACGGATGAGAAAGAAGCACCTTCCCCGTGTCGTCCAATAAAAAGTCACCTCCCAACTGGACACATAAATAAATATAAAGCTGAATGGTTTTATTTAAATAAACACAAAATCTAATTAGATTTATGAGCAGCTTTTCATCTGTCATGGGTCCCGTGACCATTATCACTTATTGCAAGTCAGATTTTAAACTGGATGTCTACAAATTAAACCAGCAGTAAGAAAACAGTCATTTAATGTCATTTAATGATTCCTGATGGTCAAAATGGCCATATTTCTAACCAAATGTCAGAATTAATGTGAGAATTAGAATTTAAATAGTTGAAAATAATTCTTTCTTAGTTTTTCTTGTAGCTTTGAGATTTAACAACCGTGCTTGCCCAGCGTTTTGTTGTTTATGTTGTGTTCCATACCTGGTAGAGGTCTTCCAGCAGACGAGAGGGGAAATCAGGGAAGTCTCTGTCTGCAATTCTGAACTCCGAGTACTGCAGCAGGCAGCCGAACTTCATCACCTTCAGGTAAGAAGAGCCGAGGCCAAAACTCCTGTAGATCTGTACCAGAGCAGACAGCAGAAAGGCCCTTTTGTTTAGGTTTTATGGCAGTTCATGATGGACTCTGTGGCATCTGGAAAATGCATCCGTCTTTCTGCTTGGTTGCGTTGACCTCACAGATGCCAACATCTGGTCACTGACTTTTTAGAATGAATGCTTTGGAGTGTTTGAGTTTAACGACACGTCATCAAACAGCTGTTAAAACCTCTGGTCGGTGCTGCGTTGGCCATCTTTAGTTTCCATAAAATTCACTTAGTTCTAAAAGTGTTTCTGCACAAAATGTTTTCTCATATTTAAACGATCTCTATTTGTGTTTATTTCTACAAATCAAGTATTGTTTTGTAATGAGCGCATCCTCACCTTTCTCTGAGGGTCCAGCAGCATCTGGAAGGTGCACCCGGTCTGTTGCAGCCACAGTTGAGCTCCTTCCACACTGCCAAAGGAAACCACTAAGACCTGCATGGACCGAGCCTCCTGGAGCTTCTGCAGAATAGCACAGTGGGCTAAAGTTAAACACCAGTCACAGGGCACGCTCTTCTGCTTAACTTCAAAGGTTCATTTTCCCTCATTAGATCATTCACTTATAGAAAAGTAAATGGTCTGTGGCTGTGAGGTACTCTGGAAAGTATGAATACATAATTTGCAGCCAGAAGACTGAAAATACATGTAAAAACAGCGCCTCTTGCTGGAAACCGGAAGTGACGTCGCTCAAGGAAAACTTTCCTGACTCTGCTCAGAAAAAAATGCATTTGCAGCAGCAGCACGCAGCTCCAGATTCTGAATAGGAATATACATTTATGTTTGATGCTGAAGGTGCACAGCCATACTGTTTTAAGCCAGCAGCAAGAGTTGATGGGATCAGGCAAAAGGAATTAATAGAATAATCAGGAATAATTCATTTAAATGGTGAAAGAAGAGCTGCTGAGACGTGGGAACTTACAAACGCACAGACTTGGAAACGCTAACTGCTGAGAACATTTTATTATTTGAACTTATTTCGACAGAAACTTGTCCTCTGATATATTACATCAAACACAATTCCATACAAATAGTTTTTGTTCTCTAATTCATGAGTTTCTAAGGTAATTAAAATCGCTGCTATCATCCAACTCTGAGTACACCGCTATGTTGGCTTCCTGTTTAAAAAACGAGGTGGGAACAAGATGAAACAAAAATGAACTACGTAGAGGCGCCATTGAGTGCTAGAGTGTAAACACTTAGCTGCCATTTCGGTCCCTCCCTCTCCAAAACCTAACCGGAGTCACCGGTGAGTAAGTAACTATGCCTGTTTTTGTGCAGTCTACGGTTCCAACAGCCGGCGTACCACTGAAAACAGATTATGTGGGATTACAATTGACCTTTCTAGCCCAATAAATGAACTGGGGGCAACTGGTGACCCATCCAAGATGGCGACCTGCAGTTACACCAGTGCCAATAGAAAGCCCCAGGCCATGCCGCCTCTATGTTTATATGATCTCTGTGCTTCTCGGTCATTTTCTGTTGTGGAAATCAATGAACACGGTGTCCAGACAAACAGGAGCTTGTACCTCCCCAACATACACAAACACGAACCATCGTTAAACTACTTGAATCAGTCTTACCTCAGCAACTAAAAACAACCAGAGGGAGTAACCTTTTGACCTTAGGTGATGTTTTTCTACCATTTTAAAGAACAGTAAAGATGCTCTTTAACATGATAAAGGAACAGAAACTGACTGAATCCAGCTGCTCTTAGACACCACAACACATTATTGTTCATTTGGAGGAGTGTCAGGGTCAGCTGCATTAACATCAGTAGATATTAGTGGTCTTGTTCACAGCTGCTGCTGACGATGCTCTTGAGCATTGAAGCAAAGCCCCACGGAGAAGGGTATAAATCCTTTCAGGTGTTTGTGAACCCTGCTTGTTGTTGTGCTCAGTTCTCGGTTTGCCTAGATGTTGTTGTGTTACTCAGGATCTTTTATTGTGGATTTGTATTGGTTGTTCAGGTTGCTTCGTGCAGAGACATTCACTGACCCGACTGGCCTCCAGCTCGGCCACGTGGTCTCGTCACGGCAGTCATCCAAAGTGTCTAATTAGAACCAGCAGCAGTTTCTGACCCTGACCCAGGAACTGACCAAGAGTTACGCCCCTTTGAACACAAAAACAAAATCAAAACCACATTTAATGAACAGCTGAAACTTTCTCAGGATGGGAAACCAAACCTCGCTTTAAATTAAGAAACGTATCCATCCGAGACTGGTTGCAATGAGGAATGAACAAAGACACCTGCCTAAACTGGCTGGTGGCTCCGGAGAGCTGATGTGTGAACGTACTTGCCGCTCCGTGCATCGGTGAACTGACAGTCAGGACTCAGGCTGTCTGCTGGTTTTCCTCCTGACAGCTGCTCATCTGCTGTCTGAAGACCCTTGTCCACACTCTCCAGGAAGGAGTCCCACTCAGTCTGCAGAATAATCATGGAGATAACACTAAATCCACCTTATATCCTCAAAGATGTTTAAAAAACAGAATCTTCTGAGAGAAACACAAATTTTATGTTTTGGAGACCAACCTCCGCAGATGTGCCGTTTATCAAATGCAAAACAAATAACCTGCATGTCTATATTTCGAAAAAGGTAAAACATACGACAATTCAAAAGGAAAAAGCAGCCTCACATATACAGACCTCAAGCTTCAGAAGCTCCTCTACCTGCTCCCTCACATCTGCATGGCTGAAAAAATACATAAGAATTTATTTAACACTAAACTTTTCATGTTCAGTCCTGGTTTCAAAAGACAGGAAAGTTGAAACTTCAAATCTTTTTTTATTTCATTTCTTCCCAAAGACTTAAAAAATTAACATGCATTATATGATCACATTCATAAAATCAAGCTGTAATTAGCTGCTAAAGAAGAACCCTAACATCTACAGTCTAACAGACAGAGTATATTCAGGGAAAATATTAAACTCATTTATAATTGCATGACTTAAAGTTAAATCAAAATCAAACAACAGTCAATTCATTCAGTAGGGTGGGCTCTGAATGTGCAGAAAAATCCTCTAGGACAGAGATTATTGATGGTTAAAATGTATTTTATTTTTGTCAAAGATGGATTAATTTACAAGGCCAGCTAAGAGTCTTTACTAGGGCTGGACAATAATTCAATAAAAATAAACATAGATCAATAGACGTGTGGTGCAATAGAAAAAAATAAATCAATCAATAAAAACTTCAATTAAACATTTCCTTTCTTTTTCCATTATAACCAGTCAGGTAGCTTCATACTAGAGTCATTACCAATCAATAAAACAGACCCAGACACGCTCTGTCACCAAGCCCTCCCCTCTAAAACCCAAACAGAGCAGCATGTGACTTCAACAAGATGTTGCAGCGAGGAGAGGTGGAAGACACTGTCACAGAAATGGGTTGCAGTAGTTCGCCAGTGTGGCAATATTTAGATTTTTCAAGTCTGATCCAAAAAAAATAATTAAAACGGT